ATACCATATTTACTAATATCATATTTAACCTAAAATTCAGGCACTGACTCTAGCGGCCGTTTAACACTGTAGTTACTGGTAAATATCATATTTTTTAGTAAGTAATGTATTTATTAGTAAATATCATATTTATCTTAAAATATATTTACTGATTTCGGTGACCGTTTTAACACTGTATTTACTAGTTAATTACTGTATTTATCAATAAATATCATATTTATTAGTAAATACTATATTTATTTTAAAAAAAATATTGAAACCCTCGCAGGAGGGGTAAATTGAGAAAACAACGTATTTTTTTTAGAATGAGAATTTAATACATGCTATAATTTACTATCATTTTAAAAATATGCTATTTACGAAATATGCTAGATGTTGTGTTTTCCCAATACTATATTGCATATTAACGACCAATTTACTGCAAGCTCGGGCTACCCAGAAGTTTGACTGCTAAAGATCTCAGTTGTCTGGTTTCACATAACCTCAAAGTTTTCTTGAATAATAATAATAATGAAAAAGATTAGAGAACATGATTAAGAAATATCTTCATATAATGGATTATTATTATATATAAGTTGATCAGGTTTTGTGTTTTGCTAGAAGAAACTAGATTCGGCTCCCGATAAAACCAAACTAAATACATGGCTTAAAGTTGACATCACCTCAGTTAAATCTTACTATATAATCAAAGTTATAATCAATCAACGTAAGTTCAAGAAAAAAAAAAAAAAAAAAAACTAAGTTATTATCAATGAAGTTGACAGCTTTGCCCCACCCTTGTCCACTTGGAGACCCAACAACGGTGGTTGCAAAATTGCAAAAGTTTCGTCTTTGGACTTGATGGACCAACCGTGACCAAAAAAGGTAGTAACAATGAAAAAGAAAAGCACACAAATATATAATATTAGTGCATATACATTCATAATGGAGACTGCATCATTAATTATCAAAAGTTTCAACTATTGTACTCCTCACCCAATATTATTGAATTAAATTCATATTTCCCCACTTCATCACTAACATAAAAGACGAACAAATCGGTGGTTGCAAAAGAAAACCTTGGACCAGACAAAAAGAAAAAAGGAAAATAATTTAGTAATAAAGTATAAAAATTATGGCCCTATTTGAAGTTGGTTTTATTTTTATTTTTCACATTTTTTGAGAAAAAAATGAAAACGAGAGAAAAACGGTATTTGACACAATTAAAGATAAAAAACAGAAATGAAAATAATTTTTTATTTTAGTGTAAAATGGGAGAGAAATGAAAAATGACTTTTAGTCGTTTTTTTATTTTTTGTTTCCGTTTTCTCCTCTCCTGAGCACAGAGTGAGAGAGAGGGAGACATTAATGAAATTTTTTATACTGAAAACAATCTCTTAATAAAACTACCAAATGTATTTTTAAAAATAATTTCTGTCTGAGATTGAAAACATTTTCATTTTCATTTTCATACGAAAAATAAAATTATTTTGAAACGAGTTCTAAATGCACCATATATTTTAGGAAAATAGTAGAAAATAGGCCAATATGAAAAGCTTAAGAAAGTATATAGGCCAATTTTTAGTTATAGAAATTAATAGGCCATAACTTGTCAAGTTATGGTTCATAACCAGATAAGTTATAGACAAACTTGTCAAGTTATGGTTCATAGCCAGACAAGTTATGGACAAAAACCGTAAATAACTTGTCAAGTTATGGTTCATAACCAGACAAGTTATGGACGAAAACAGTAATTTGGCCTATTTATTAACTTATGTAAATTATTAATCTATTAATTTTAATTCATCTCAAGTCTTGATCTATTTTCCTCTTTCTCCCTATATTTTATAACATTGTGTTTAACTTTAAATTCGCATAATATTGTGTAATATTTTATTATTATTTTATTATTATTTTTTTTATAAAAAGCTTTCGACGTAGAGTCACAATACTATTGATTTTGACTACATAATTTAAATATCACAACACATATGATATACGACTGAGTACCATGGAGTATTTTTTTGAATAGCATCGAAAGGTTGCTGTCAAATATGACCTTATAATCTATGAGTAGGGTCTCTCCACTATAATATTCCTCTGTTTACTTTTTTATTTTTTTTATATAATTATGATATAATGTAGTGTTAGACAATAGATGTACATTACCAATTAAGGGTCATTGAATACGCTAAAAAGAGGGGACACAAAATGAGTGTAGCACACTGTAAGTGACCCAGCGTGAGCCAAAGTCATTTTCGGAGGTTGAAATTACTACAAATTGATTAAATAGACTCCTCGTCGTCAGCTTGCGGTGGCTCCACTGTGATTATGAAACTCGCAAGATGATAATTGGTTGAGACTTTAGACTTTTAGACTTTAGATTCGATTCTCAAAATTTCTTATTACCCTGTTATATATATGGAAGCTTTTCCGTTAAGACCTTCTTATTAGTAGGGTCTAGTTTTCGTTATAAATTATATCAGATTAAAAATATATATATATATATATTTTTTTATCCTGCTAAAAATTCTTCCATTATTAACTTTTTTCTATTTACTTTTTCTTCAAAAAAATATGTACATATTGTTTTTTATCCCGCAAAAAAGGTTCTTCTATTATTAACTTTTTTTTATTTACTTTCTCTGATAGGCCAACCCATTAGTACAATCAGAATGTGGTTGAAAAAAAAAATGAAGAAAAAAATAATTTTTAATACAGATTTAACGGATAAAAGATAAAAAATTATAAAATTTTTTTTTTTCAAGTCTACCAAAAATAACTTCTTCATATATATATATATATATATATTTTTTTTTTTTTGCGTGAGACTGAAAGCCAAAAGTGAAGAGTGAGAGTGAGTGATAACTAAGGACCCAGCAACATGGACAGCTTATGTAAGGACGATAATATACGTACAAAAGCAATAGATTAAAATATCGAGGAAACATAAAAATACATTAATTGAGAAAAGGAATATGCAAGAGTAACATGAGCTGTAATGTGCTGTGCCGTGCGGATGTACATGCGAGTGCAAACCAAACCATAAAAGATTGGAAAAATGTTCCCAAGAAATATTCATTTGGGAATTGGGGTTGTAAATCTATGGACGAAGTTCCAATCTATTATTTTAGACATATTATGAAGTCTGTTTTCAGTAATACGACAGTTTAAAATTGATTTGCATTGTCATTTTGTTTAAATTATCTGGTCCCACTTAATAAAAACAGTTAAATTGTTACTTTTCTATTGAATTTTTAGTTAGCATAATAAGTTAGTATTTTCTAATCCATTCCGTAAACAATATTTTCTTTCATAAAAAATCAGTGGATTCCCCGATTTTCAAAGTAGCATGCTGTTATTTAGTTCTTGGACTGATCTCATAAGCCCATTAGTTCTCTCTATTATTGCCATGATGCCATCACAAAATCAGATTTACCATCTTTGTAATGATTTTTGTGACGCATAAATAATTTGTATCTTTTGCTTCTAATACATTGAATTTGTCAAACTTTTCTTTTTCTTTTTTTTTTCCTTTTCTTTTCTAATCGAATTTGTTGAACTTTAAATTTACTGCATTGCACACTTTTTTAATTAGCAAAAAGAAAATAGAAAATTAAAATGCACTTGCGGTATTTAAGTCCCACAAATTTTCTTCCGAGTTATAGGTATTCAGAAAAGAATTCGTAGGCACTTTAAACAGCACATGTGCCTTTGCTCTCTACTAATATGAAACTCTTCTTTTTTTTTTTGAAAAAAAAGAGCACACACTTGGAAACAGATCACACACGCAAGTTAATTTAGTGGAGGACATTTATGTGTTAAAGTGTTACCTCCTCCCAAAGACTCTTAAAGCACATTTGCTACAAGGATTCTAAAATTTGAAATCATGATTCTAATTCAAATCAGTGTTTATTTACAAAAAGTAAAAAGTGATTCTGATTTAACTCACCCATAATTAATATTTAGTTTGGATGGTTCTAATTTAAAGTTTTAATCATGATGTTATGTTTTAAACCTGAATAACTCCTGATTTTAAAACCATCCCCCTTTGATTTTGGGTGGTTCAACTCCTAGGCCCGTTTAGTTCGTTCATTCAAATTTTTAATTCGAGTTGAGATATGACTCTATGTGAAAATTTTTTACTGTAGCAAAAAAGTTAGACGTGACTATTTCTGAGAGTTTCTTACTGTAACAAAACTCGAATTCTAAACTCTAATCGGTGAAATGAATAATGCCATAATTCTAGTTCTGGTTTCATGACCATAATTTGAACCTAAAATCATATCATGATTCTAGTTTTAAAATAAAATTAGAATCATCTTAATTTAAACTCTTATACCAAACGAAGCTTTATTGTTGATATTTTACGTGTTCTAAATTTATATGGTAAGAACTACCCATTATATGCTACCGTTAAGAACTACTGGTTTAATATTTCGATTAACTATTTAATGATTTATCATCCGTTCATTTTACCGATTCGAGTTTAGAATTCGAGTTTTGATACAGTAAAAAGCTCTTAGAAACAGTCACATTTAACTTTTTTATTATAATAAAAAACTCTCACATAAAGTCACGTCTTAACTCAAATTAAAAACTCGAATTAACGAACTAAACGGAATATTAATCTATGTTTAGGAAAAAAAATTTCACGTATGCAAATTTTTATTGTGCACATTTATAAATCAGATTATAAAAATTCTTAATTTTATAAATTTAAGTTTTATTATAATAAAAAATTATCAAAAATAATTATATCTAATTTTTTTATTACAATAAAAATTTTTTATATAAAATTATATATCAATTTAAATTAAAAAATCGAATCGAGCCTCAAATATTTCTCCCCCAATCAAAAAGAAAAAACTTTTTTCAGGGTGAGATAAGAGCATCTCTATTATTTTATTGTTACACAATAGCGTTTTGAATGATGACAAAATTGAGAGTGCAGATGATACAAGCTGAAATATCAGAGCGGTGACGTGCAGGCCAGAGAGACACCCTTGAGGGCAGGTGTCCACCAGTTTAGCGCTCAATACATTTCCATACACCCCTTTTCCTTTATTTGCTTTCTCTCTCCCCAACTGTTCTTTAGGACTCTTCCTCATTTTTCTATTTTTCAGTTACGTTTTTTATTCACTCGGTCTTTGGAAATCCCTTCCTCTCAGAAAGGCCGAGATTCTTCATCTTCAGAAAAGGTTTCAAAAAAAATTTAATTGCTGATTTTGTTTCCTTCGATTTTTTTTTTCCTTTTTGGGTTGTTTTCATTTGGATGGTAAATTGATTTGTGATCCAATCTGCAAATGACGTTCATATCTCTCTCTGTTTCTATTGCGCCTTTATAGAGGTCTTTCTCATCGGACATCTTTCTACCTTGTTGCTTCTTCAGGATTTCCTTTCCATTGCTCGATCTGTGATTCTTCGTTTCTTTCTCATCCAGGTTTTTACTCTAAAAAGCAATTCCAACGAGAATATATATATATAAAAAAATGAGTGGTGCCGTTCTTGTGGCTATTGCCGCTGCTGTTGGTAATCTACTGCAAGGATGGGATAATGCAACTATCGCAGGTATATTGGTTTTTTTTTTTTTTTTTTTTTTTTTTTTTTGGGTGCTTCAAAGATTCAAGCTTGATTTGTGTACTAATCGGTTCTTTTTTTTTTTTTTTTTTTTTCAGGTGCTGTTTTGTACATAAAGAAGGAATTCCACTTAGAAAGCCAACCCACTTTAGAAGGGCTGATCGTGGCCACATCACTGATCGGAGCCACTCTGATCACAACATGCTCAGGAGCCATAGCAGACTGGCTTGGCCGTCGTCCCCTGCTCATAATCTCTTCTATTCTTTACTTTCTTAGTGGTATTCTTATGTTGTGGTCTCCTAATGTTTACTTCCTTCTATTGGCAAGGCTTTTGGATGGTTTTGGTGTTGGTTTGGCTGTTACCCTTGTCCCCGTTTACATATCCGAGACAGCCCCACCTGAGATTAGAGGCCTTTTGAATACTCTCCCCCAGTTCGCTGGCTCTGGTGGGATGTTCTTGTCGTATTGCATGGTGTTTGGCATGTCTCTTTCGGAATCCCCCAACTGGAGATTGATGCTTGGTGTTCTTTCTATTCCTTCTGTTATATATTTCCTTTTCACTGTTTTTTACTTGCCCGAATCGCCTCGGTGGCTCGTGAGTAAAGGCCGGATGCTTGAGGCCAAGAAAGTTTTGCAGAGGCTGCGTGGCCGAGAAGATGTTGCAGGTTAGCCCCTTTCTCTGATGATCTGTTTCTTTGGAAGTACTTGATTACTGAAGTGATATAAGTTTATTTAATTGTTTGATTTGCGTAGAGGTTTAATGTTTAAATCTGAGGTTTTATATTTAGATGCTTTGTTAGGTTTGTGATTCACACTACATGATTCATAAGAGTAATCCTACACATCCCAATACTTGTACCATGTCAAGTGAATGACGATTCTTGGATTTCTAAGATATGGATTCTTATGAGTAGATCTAAAAGCATTTGCAAATGGAAGAATGATGATTCTCTTGTCCCAGCAGTTTGTTAGAATGAATTAGTACAACAGTTGGTATGTGTAGAATTGTCGGTTAACAATCTGGCATTACCTTGATTCTACTGATACTTGTAAGATGAACAGGTGAGTTGGCTTTATTGGTTGAGGGTCTTGGAGTTGGGGGTGAAACGTCCTTGGAGGAGTACATAATTGGCCCAGCTAATGAGTTTAATGATGAGCAGGATCCATCTGAGGACAAGGATCAAATCAAGTTGTATGGGCCTGATCAAGGTCTCTCCTGGGTTGCCAAACCCGTCACTGGTCAGAGCACCACCCTTGGCCTTGTGTCTCGGCATGGAAGCCTGGCAAACCAGAGCGGTCTTGTTGATCCTCTTGTCACTCTCTTTGGCAGTGTTCATGAAAAACTCCCGGAAACCGGAAGTATGCGAAGCATGCTCTTCCCACACTTTGGCAGCATGTTCAGTGTTGGAGGTGGTAGCCAGCCTAGAAACGAGGAGTGGGACGAGGAGAGCCTCGCTAGAGAAGGCGACGATTATGCATCTGATGCAGATGGTGGCAATTCTGATGACAACTTGCGTAGTCCATTGATATCACGACAGACAACGAGCATGGAGAAAGACATGGTCGCGCCTGCTCATGGAAGCCTCACAAGTATGAGGCAGAGCAGTTTAGTTCATGGTAATGCCGGGGAACCGGTTGGGAGCACTGGAATTGGTGGAGGCTGGCAATTGGCATGGAAGTGGACTGAGAGAGAAGGCGAAGATGGTAAAAAGGAGGGAGGTTTCAAGAGGATTTATTTGCACCAAGAGGGTGTCCTTGGATCTCGGCGAGGATCTATAGTTTCTCTTCCTGGTGGTGATGTTCAAGTGGAGGGTGACTTCGTCCAGGCTGCTGCCCTGGTTAGTCAACCGGCTCTCTATTCGCAAGACCTTATGCGAGAGAATCCAATTGGACCGGCTATGGTTCACCCGGCTTCAGCTGCGAAAGGTCCAAGTTGGAGAGATCTTTTCGAACCGGGAGTCAAACATGCTTTGTTTGTTGGCATGGGAATCCAAATCCTTCAGCAGGTAACTAATAGAATCTACTGTTCCTTTCTTTATCTTCTTTTTGAAAGATTTGGAACATGTTTAAACTATCGTTCCTAATCTTTGGTACTAGTCTTAGACAGGTTCTATTTTGTTGTCTGTTTAAATTATATTTGTATTGCTTGCCTCGTAACTCTTTTAGTACTTGTTCAGTTTGCTGGCATCAATGGAGTTCTCTACTATACACCTCAAATCCTTGAGCAGGCAGGTGTTGGGGTTCTCCTTTCGAACTTGGGACTTTCATCATCTTCTACATCTTTACTTATAAGTGGACTAACAACTCTCCTTATGCTTCCTTGTATCGCTGTTGCCATGAGGCTTATGGATATCTCTGGGAGAAGGTAATTCTTCTCCCCATTTATTTGTGTTTCTTACTGGCCGTTTGGTTGAATTCTTTTTAGATGGCAAACTTGTTGATTGCAATTTTTTGTTGCTTGTAATGTTTTTTTTCGTTGTTATCCTTACGGTTTATTTTGTTTACCCTCAACAAACAGGAGTTTACTGCTCAACACAATCCCTATCTTGATAGTGTCTCTTCTGGTCCTAGTCCTTGGGAGTGTTGTGAATTTGGGCAAAGTTTTTCATGCAACGATCTCTACCGCCAGCGTTGTGCTCTACTTCTGTTTCTTTGTCATGGGATTTGGCCCAATTCCTAATATCCTTTGCGCGGAGATCTTCCCCACCCGAGTTCGTGGACTCTGCATCGCCATCTGTGCACTCACATTTTGGATCGGAGACATCATCGTCACCTACTCGCTACCCGTGATGCTCAAGGCTGTTGGCCTTGCTGGTGTTTTTGGCATGTATGCAGTTGTGTGCATCATTTCATGGGTCTTTGTTTTCTTGAAAGTCCCAGAAACCAAGGGCATGCCTCTTGAAGTTATCACCGAGTTCTTCTCCGTCGGTGCAAAGCAGGTTGCAGCTGCGAAGAACGATTGATTTCAAACTTAACAGATCAAAAAAAAAAAATTTTGACAGTTTGTTTTATTTCCCTGGTCCTGTTTGATAATTTCTAATTTCCTTCTGCGGTTTGGAAGTGGTATTTTTATTTTTAATTTTTGTGTAGAAAGGATCATTTTCTTTATTGGCTCATTTGTCATATTTGGTATGCAACAAACTGACGTCTTCTTTGGCGTGTCATACTGTTTTTGGAGTTGAAATTATGGAGGGGAAGAACGTAGATTTCTGCCTATGACAAGAATAAGATTAAGATTTGTTGCCGTTGTAAGAAAAGAATGGCCAAAAGACTCTACATTTATAGCATGTATTCTCGACGTCTAGCGTGTGAAAGTGACAATAAAGGGGAATTGAAGCGAAATTGCCTTTGTAAGTACCAGTGTTGGCATGAACTTATTTCCCATGGCTCTTTAAAGCTCAAAAGTGCTCTAAAGAAAGTTATGGACAAATTTAACTGTCTTCTCTTGGTGTTAAAAAAACAAAAGAGGTTGTTTCAAACGGCCCCATCAATAAATGGAGTGCAGTACGTGTGCAAACATAACCACACAGTCAGGGCAATGGATTTAATTGGCAAGTTGATGAGAATAGAGTGCGTGACTAGAGTGGCAGTTATTATTAAACACACTAATACCAGTTAACAATTAAGCAGCTAAGCATTAACAATCAACACAATCAGAGCAAAAAAAGCGGCTGAGCATCAAATGCAGCAGAATTTTGCAGTCTAATTCACAGCCCAAATTATTGTTTGTTTCATTTCACCGATTTAAATTTAAATTTTAAATTTTGTTATAATAAAAAATTTTTAGAAACACATTTTTTTTTACTATATTAAAAAATTCTTACATAAAATCACATCTCAACTCGAATGAAATACTTAAATCAGCGAACTAAACGCCCGTCATCATTCCCTTTTAAGAATAGTTTTCTCCTTACTAAAGAACTACCTTGTATTTCATATTAAACCTAAGGAACTTGACAAGCATCACCATGGTTCGAGAACTAATATAAGACGGTTGCGGACGTTATGCCGTGTCATTCTATCAAAGGGGTAAAGTTTTAATCAGCCCGGCCTACATTAAAAAAAAAAAAAAATAGTAAAAAAATCAATATAAGCTTGACAAGAATCGACTCGGAGATCATGCTTTCCGTCAACGAGTTTCCTCAGTTTTCCAAAAGCAACAACGGACAGCAAGTACTTAAAAAGGAAAACCAAAAAGGGTAACAAATATTGACATTTGATTTGGATCAGAGTACATAATGATACATTAGCAGTAACACAAGATATGAAAGGCAGTAACCCCGACATATAAAGTATGCTCTCAAAAGTCAACCTTCCTGAGTAGCTCAGAGCCTTTGAAAGTTCTGATACCTTCCCACAGCCAGAATATGACGGCAAAACGGGCACGAGGAATGGCACTTAAGCCACCTATCAATGCACTTCACATGGAAGCCATGGCCACAGTGAGGCTACACCCTCATCACATCTCCATCCACAAACTCCGTCGAGCAGATTGCACATTCCAAGAGATTCCCATTGATTGATGTCTGGTGTGCAATTCTGGGGATAGATCGGAGACTCTTCCTGTCGAGGCCTCGGTTCGACACAGAGGACGGGATTGTGGTTGCTGTGAGGTACTACTAGTTCTTGTTGTGATGTGGTGGTACCATAGAATCAAAGCTATTCGCCAAGAGACCATGACGATGATGACACAGCTCAATATACACGAGGATGAGGCAAAGAGAACAATAGAGATAGGAGGTTTGACAAGGAGACACATCAATGGAAGATCCATTAGAGTTTGTCGGTGGGAGGGAGGGCCTTTAATCGGATTCTCCCCTTGCAAAGCACAAAAAGAAATGATAACAGGACCCGTCGAGCTCCAACTTTTGTTGACCAAACTATCTATTAACTATTGAATATGAAAAATCTTACTATACCCCCTTTCCAGATAAGAAGGCCATATTTAACTTGATGGATATTTAATCGTCTTCGGTAGCCACGGACCATACTCTCTGGTTCCAGGAAATGGAATTTCATATGTTAACACAAAGGCAGTCATACTCAAAATTCACCCTAGTAAGTCAAAACCACCGTGTGATTGTTGAGCACATTAAATATCCATGTTTTCAATTATATATAAACTTATAGCCACCTAACAACCGCGTGGAAATTGGTTCTTGGTCTCACTCTCACATCAACATCAGGAGTCTTCAGATGGGTTCACCTCAAAAGCCCACATTAGATTCAAGATCTCTGAGAATATGGAGCAAAGAAATGCCCACCAACCGATGCCAAAAAATAGAAAAGAGTAAAGGTGATATCAAGGTAATATCACTTCAAGACAATTCTCATTTTTATTTCCACAACGCATAAAACAAGTGCTACAAAAAATACAAGTATGGTGCTTATACTCATCACTGTTCAACTTCAAGACAATCGCTTTTCTTTTCCCATTTTTATTACTGATGTTACAAGAGAACTGGAAGAAAACAGAAAATGTTCGTTGAATGAAACAAGATTACCAGTTGAAAAATGGCATCCAACATTGCAACAAACATCAAAGAGCCAACTTCATCCACTTCTTCCACACCACAGCAAGCTTCCAAGGAATTTGCGCAAAAGCCATATTATCCTATTCATCTTTACAAAGCGAAAGCCGTAGCAGATGGAAGGTACAGTGAGAACGTGAACAAAGCAGCAAAATTCATCTGGGAATGCTACCAATAAGCCTAGCGCCGGTCCGGTCGAGCCTCTGAACGCTCGCCGCCGCCTTCAAGTTGCCGTCTCTCAAGAAGGCATCAACCATCCGCTCCCCAATCACTTTCCCCTTCTCAGCATTGTCCGTCACAGCCACTGCCGTCGGCCCGGCTCCGCTGATGGTGCAGCCGAATGCCCCGGCCTCGATCGCCGCCTTCTTCACCGCCTCCATGCCGGGAATCAGCGGGGCTCGCCTCGGCTCCACGATCTTATCGGCGGACACCGCCTTCCCCAGCCCCGCCGAGTCCCCTTGCAGCACCGCCGCCACCAGAGCCCCCGCCTGGCTGCAATTCCACACGTGGTGCGGCATCCCGATCTCCAAAGGCAGCACCGCCCGCATCTTCTTCGTCGGCGCCTCGAATTCCGGGCTCGCCAGCACGAAAAGCAGCTCCTTTTCCTCGGGAAAGCTCAGTCGGACGAACTCCAGAGGCTCGTAATTGCTGATCAGGACGAACCCTCCCATAATCGCAGGCGCAATATTGTCCGCGTGGTAACCGGAGACCTTCTCCTCCGATTTGAGACCCGCCATTACCAGCTCCTCAAGCCCTAACTTTCCTCCGAAAATCTCGTTCACCGCCACCGCTGCCGCTGCGGCGCTGGCAGCGCTGGACCCAAGGCCGCTCCCGAGAGGCAATCCCTTCTCGAGCGAGAGCGAGAGGCCGACGGAGCGGATGCCGAGCATCTTCATGACTTCAATGGCGGCGATTCCGGCACAGTTCCAGAGCGGGTTCTTGCTGAGCTTCTTGGCGTTGTCGCCGGTGATTTCCGAGATGGCGATCTCGCCGGGATGCACGTGGGGGTCAATGCTGAGGGAGACGAAGTCGCCAACGCCATCGACGGCGCAACCGAGGAAGTCGAAGCCTGGGCCAAGATTGGCGACGGTGGCAGGCGCGAAGGCCTTGACGGAGGCGTAGACCGGTTCGGGTTCGGTGCTGGTGAGGGGGGATCTAGAGGGAAGGGAGAGGTTGCACCTGAACAGGGGTTTGGTCTTGGCGAACGCTTTCGGTTGAGGGATTGTCACAGTTTTGATGGGAGATTGGCAACAGAACGCCATTGGAGAAAGAGAGAAAAAGGGTAGGGTTTTGGAGACAGTAACATATATGTATATATATATATAGAGAGAGAGAGAGAGAGAGAGAGAGAGAGAGAGAAGCAAACAAAACCCTGTCGTTCAAAGTGCAATCTGACTCGAACTCGATGATAAAGACAAATAGGGAGGGAGACGCCGTGAAACGTCCGGACAAGGCGAGTTGGTGTTTATGGGCCGGGCTTTAAGTTTGTCGCTTGAGAGTTTTGTTTTGTTTTTTTTTTTCTTTTTTAAAATGTCGTTTTAGGTTTGTCCTTCTTAATCGTTGTCGTTTTGGCTTTTATTTTGATTTTTGATGTCGTTTTAAAAATTTATTGTCGTTTTATCTCTCCTTGTCTTTTTATCCATTTCTTTTTTGTTCTTAACATTAAAATGTCATTTTCTGGTCTTACTTGATATCTGCATTCTGCAATGTGTGCGTGCAGCTGTTTCAGAAGAAGAACTACATTATACATGTTTTAAATTTAGGGTGCGTTTGGAGTAAGGATCCGTGCCATGGTTCGGATCATAGTTCGTGGAATGTTTTCTCTCACAAAAAGCATACGTAAACTGAGAATGATTCTGAATTCATCAACCAAAGGTAACCTATCAATCGTCACATTCCATTGTTGTTGTTTCTATTTTTAACGTTGTTTTTCCTTTTTTGTCGTTTTATCTCCCAATGTCGTTTTTCCCATTTATATCGTTTTTTGCTTTGTGCCGAACAGCCGCTGCCTTTCTGCTCCACAAACTCAATAATGATCAATATTCAACTTCCAAAGCAAACCTGGTGGGCAAGTAATAGAGGAGTGTACAAGCAATATAAACAAGACACTTTGCTTCCAACACAAGTAAAAGGAAAAATCCACATGTAACAACGTGTACTTTCGTAATAAGGGAGGTAAATATCATACATTTCAACTGTTTTTTACATCTGTATTGAGCACCATTCACGGATTACCACCAGTTCAGTTAACACCGCAAATACACCATCACCTTATAGGAGTGAAAAAAAAAAACAAAGATCTCCCTCTCTTTTTTATGAACGGTGAGATGGTATATCTCGTAGAAAGCAAACAGTAGGTATAAGGTTTAGGGGACTTTAATAACTAACGAAGCCTAGTTTCACCGTTGTGTCTCCCGTTAGGAACATCCAATATTTCTGTTCCCTTGGTTCTTAACTCATCTTGTATCCCGTTACCATTTGATAACATTTCATTCCTTTTTCTTTTTAACCTTTTTCTTGATTCATCTTCCTTCTCATCAATGAAAGCCAAAAAGTTCAAGATGCGCTCAGAGCGAGAACTGGCATGTTCAGAAGGCTCGGAGACTCGAGGGAAATGCTTGCTGAATTCGTGTATCATCTTCCAAAAGTATATAATTAGAGAAACAAGACATACAATGGCACAGATGACAAATAGCCCCCAAAAGCTCTCTAATGGAAGCTGCTCTGATTGGATATCAGAGCCGTGTAAAGCACAACCCTTTTTTGACAACCATCTGTTATGAATCCTCTGAAGCTCACCGTTCTCGGATAGATTGAGAATGGCAGTTGACATGTCAACGGCTATAGGAGAGCCTTTTGGAAATGCCTGTGACAAACAGTATTTAGCAAATGACACATATATAAATATATTATATGTTAGGAAGGTAATAATAACGTTGAATGTATCAACTGATATAGCGAGTGAGTAATTACTTTTAAATATCGAACACTGCATTTATTTACAAAATCATCTTTCTAATAAAAAAGTGACCAATACTTGTTATTTCAGGTGGCATTGAAAAGAAAGTTCGGATGAAACTTGAAAAATTAACTTATATATATGGTAAGATACTCACAAATCCCCACCCACTTTTGGTGAATTCTTGGCCTCTAACCGCAAACATGCAATGATCTGAAAGGAAGAGTTCTATGTATGGCCGTTCGTCGACCACAGCAGCAACAGTTCCATTCTCAAGGGCCTTGGCATATTCATTTGGTGAACCAAGAGCAACGAGTCTGAATTGTGGAATGTCAAGTTCTTTACTCAAGTAGTTTTCGGCGAACGAACCTACTTGGAATCCTATTGGTTCATTGCTCGTTATCAAGGTGTCAATTCCAGTGATGGGTGATGATAGATGCCGTATTGTGAGGATTGATGTTAGGCTGGCTGTGTAGCTCGAGGTTAGTATCAGAACGACGAAAAGCCAAATGAGCATTACCATTTTTCCTAGCGTGCTCATTGTATTTTCTCCTGAAAATTTGAAGAAATCCATGATTGGAACTGCAGCATTCGGTTCTTGTAAAGAAAAGAGTGTGCATTCTCAGAGTTGAAAACTTACTATGTGCAAAGAACATAGTAGAAAAGCTAAACCTGCACAATAAAGAAAAAACTGTTCTTTGAGCATGCGTGAGCATCAAATTGTTCTATGTTATTTTATTGTTCAAGTGGTTAAAACACTCACCATAGAATTGTAATGATTTGTTGCCTAGGTGGTCCGCGGAACTCATCATTTACTCTATGTTCAAGAATCCAAACAACTGTCCCAACAAAGAGGAAAAAACTTGCAATAATAGCCCACGTCAATGGTGTAAATGGTCTCAAAAATGCCCAAGCAATTGAGTTCAATTTCTTGACTGGTGTCACCACAACTAGCCCCGACTCTATATAAGGCTGAGTGAAATCCACAATCTTTGTTCGGTTTGTGACGATTGTAATGTCCCCCACAACAGCATCAAATTCCTGCACAACAATACCAAAAAATAAATAGAAGCAAAACGCAATTAGTTGCTCATAATCTGTTTCTTTCTAGATTTTACTTACACCTATTGTAATTTTGTTTACTAGCTCAGTATAGCTTGGATTCTTATGACCATCTCCGAACAGAAGGAACCTATAAGGAACTGTATAAGGAAGCAACTTTATAGCTGCAAGGAACACATCAATACAATATCCTTGGACTATATTTGTACCATTTACTTGTGACACAAAGTTCTTGTAACTAACTCGGTTCGGGACTCCTATTAGCAACTGCCTCCCATTGTCACGGAAAACCCATCCGCGGGGCGTGATTGTCGTTCCTCCAGGCCACACCACAGTGTCCAAATGCTGGTTTGCAATGGACCTGACGGGCTCCTTTATGTAAAGTACCTCTGGGGGCACAACAGAAAGACCAGAATAGTTAGACCAATATCCAATCTGCTTAAACTCCCCATTACCAATCACATTAATGATTTCGAAAGCGGGCCTCAATGCTGATCTGTCTGGGAATCCTATTGGACCGGTAAGACCTATCATATTGGTTTCTAGTATGTTACTGAGAAGCTGCTTTCCACCGTCAAATCTTCTTAACGCACCAAGATTTATAGTCCCTCCTTGAACACCAGTGAAACTAGTGTTATTGGAGAATGAAATTTTCCCTCCTTGATCCAAAAGCCTTTTCAATGCTCTAGCTATTAACCAAACTGTGTCATAGGCATATAAGCCATATGGGTTCAGCCCAACAGTGCCATTGCTCAACTGGTCCCACCTGGCAACGAAAGCCCTTTTCCTCTCTGAATCAGGGGTGTGTGGACGAAGTGTTAGAGCTCCTTGGATGGAGTTGGCAATCCTTGGAGAGAGAGGAGAATTCGAGTCCAAAACAGTGGATAGCCAAGTGGAAGCTATCCAAACATAGCCTCTCTCCATCATTCCAAGCTCCTTGGCAACATCGAAAACCAAGAGACCAGTTGCGGAGTATGTGAGGAGAACGATCACCCGACATTCCCTCATTCGAATCTTCGATAACTGTTCCGCGACGTCGTTTGGAGTTGCTCTGGGGTCCGGTGGAAGGGCTGCCTTGTAAGAGATTTTGCAGCGCCTCTCTACGAGCTTGTCAGCTAATGCTGTCACTCCATTTCGGCTCTGATCATCGTCGGAGAATAGGGCGACTACCTTGGACCAACCAAAATAACTAACCATGTCTGCTATGGCAGTCATTTGGAAATGGTCATTAGGTGCCGTTTGAAGGAAAAACGGGTACTGCAGAGATGCTAGGGTGGGATCCAAAGCAGTGAACGACAATAATGGGACATGTAGCTCATTTGCAAGGTGTGAAAGTGCATGTGCCATTACAGCATTTTGTGGACCAATTATAGCTACCGTATCAGACCCCATAAATGTCAATGCTGCAATGAAAGAGGAAAAAGAAAACATTACCACGCATCTTTTGTTAAAAAAAAGAAAAAAAAAAGATGCGTTATTCTTTTATAGCACAAACAAAAAAGAAAGTATTGAATAAATAATGCTGGTTTTAATCTGAAGTAACGATTACATAAAAGAAAATTATCAAATTTGGTGTTATTCTTGATATACTTTTTTCTTATAACTTTAATTATAAAAAGGAGTCTAGAAAAATGAAAAAGAAGGTTGCGGTGAAGAGGAAAGAATTATACCCCCAAGGATGCCAAGAAATCCACTATAGTTAGAATCATGAAAAGTCACAGACAATTTAGTCCCACCAAGAACGCTCATATCTGAGTTCACATCCTGCTCGGCAGCCTCAATGGCAACCTTTGAGACTCTTCCATTTATCGACTTTGATGTGAAAATGGCTCCAACTTTCACTACAGAAGGTCTTGAGGCTTCTTCCGAGAGTGCTCGGAAGGCGGTGAAAATGAACATTGACAAGAACAAAGGCAGGTTCATGGTGATATCTTATCTTCCTATGTGAAATATGGAAGTCAATACCAAATGATTTGTTCATCAACTTAAAGGCGATCATTCAAAAAAAAAAAAAAAAGTTTAGTAACCTTAACAAATTAAACAAAAAAGGAGAGGAACTTGGGTACGGAAAGGATATATAAGAACTTTTTGCACTAAAGATATTGGAAAAGAAACAAAAATACCAATTTGAAGATTGGAGGGAACCAAAGGGATGTTAAGAGTCTGAGCTAGTTCTTAAAACGCAAAAGCAACCGACAAGACAACTAGACAAAAGAAGCAAATCTTGTATTGCCAAAAGCAGTACCTTACCTTATTCAGCAAAAAAAAAAAAAAAAAAAAGAGAGTAAAGTACCTGAAAATAAACAAGAAAAACCATTAAAAGCAAGCGGAAGAAAAGTGAAATTTAGCTAACTTCTAGGGATGGTTTCACATGGAAGTAAACGCTCACCACAAGCTCAAATAAGGGACATCATGAAAATAAAACAAGAGGTAGAACTTGGAGTCTCATTTTTTAAAGGAGAGATTGGAGAAGAATTAATGCATTATAACTTAAACCAGCAGTGACACACTCAAAGAAGGGAAGGAATAAAAGTGAGTATTATATTATATTGAAAAATAAATAAATATGAAAGAAAAAGGAGAAACTCACATGAGAATGGCTTGAGGGTCACAAGAAAGGAATTATAATGATCACAATAATTTAGAATAGTAGAACAACTTGGTAGGTTGCTTTTCCATTGAGGCTAATTTTAATGAGTTTGGCCTTCTCTTTTTCTTGTTGCCATTCGCTCTTCAGCAAAGGCATGGGCTCAACCCTCTAAAGATAGTAGGAGACCATTTAAACCCTTTTTTCTATTTCTTGATGCAGAAAGAGAGAGGTTTTGGACGTGTGTTTTTCTTTCATAAATTAGGTTTTTACTTTTTATTTTTCTTTTCCTATAAGCTTGGTATTTAGGGAGAAATCTATGAAGATTCTTTTTGTCTGATTTGTGTTTGTTCCTCCCAAATATATAATAATAATTGTTGAGAACTAAGTGTCATGATGAGAAAAAATAAATAGTGATGGCACAAATTGCGTCTCTCAAATTATGAGAAGATCGATCCGCTTGTTAACTCTATATTAAGACGATTATTAAGCTCCACAAACTCAAGAAAGCTAAGACCTGCAAATAAAAGAGGCTAGGCATTGTGAATTCTATGTGTCCGTAATTTAAGGAGTTATTTGGAAGCTATACTCAAACTCAAATCATGATTCTACTATAGTGTTTTTTATCTCACAAAAAATTTAAATTCTAAAAGTTCTCTCTTACAAAGTTTCCACTAATGAATCCAAATTATGATTTAACATGTCCTAAAATATTTGTGTTCAGAGGGGGAAAAAAAAATCTCGTTAACTTGTTAAATTTGTCCACGATATTAATGAGATGGTTAAATCATAAACGAAATGAACAAGACTTTTTGAGACATGCTCATTTTTCCTGAACGCAGGATCAGCAAAAAATAGTTTTTAAGGACGTCTCATCCATTATTATTAATTTTTTTAATTGACATATTTCTTCTCTGAAGTGTCATAACTAGAAAATCATCTCGTGGTCCCATAAAAAATTTCAGAAAGATGGCCACCAAATACAGTGTTTGATATTAAAATATATTTCAGTGGTGGTCTGCAAATGATCTACTCTAAATTTTCGAGGCACTAACTGGAAGTGCACCGATAGAAAGCTCCATTTTAGGCACTGATTTACCTTTTTGGCTTGAATACATCATGACATCACTGTACATGCTTTTCGGCCGGTGAGAAATAATTGAATTTATTAATGGACTAAATCTTCTACCACAAAAATTATTGTAATTATGGCCTTTTTGATTGTTGCCTGTGAAATGCACATTTGTCTTGCTTTTCTTTTGGATCTACAAATGCAACTTTTCTTTGTTGTTGATTATCAACCAGAATAAAACTGAATTACAAGTAATGGAAAAATGAAAGCTATGAAGCATAAACAAAGATATTTAGAAAATTATTTTACTACTAAATCTTTCTTATTTAATCATTTTTTACAATTTAAACCTTGTGAAAACAAATGAAATCCAAATTATCAACACCCTGATTACTATATACGTCTATCCAGAATATGGAGTCTGCAATATATATCAACAATTTCTGTATAACCCAAAAAAATGAAATTTCAGGGATGAAACTGAACAAAAGAGTTTTGTCTTTCAGAATTTCAAATTCTTTCTGGAGACTGTTGAGATTTACATGATCTTGAGAGAAACCTATCTAATACAATAGATGACCTATAACCTCGTGTCATATAAAGCTGTACTTAATATCTTTATTTTTCAATTGCTCATCAGAAATGGTTTTTGATTAATCCCAATAGTATGAACTCATAACAAGCAGGCTGTATTCAGTCAAAAATCCTCTCCCCAGTTGAGAGCAACAAAAACCCAAGTGAGCTAAAAATGCAGAGAACTCCTGGAATAACATGCACTGATCTCCTGCTTTCTGGATTAGAAATCTCTGAATTAGCAGTTTTAGCTGCTTCTAGAAGCTTCCCAGTAAGATCTACTCCAATAATGCCAGCCAATGTACCAGCAGTGTGAGAGATTCCCATAACAATGCCAGCATATTTTGGAGCAATATCCGTGTGATTCACTGCAAATCCAGCTCTACCTAGTGCCAAGAAACCAAGAGCCATAGAAGAACAAAACACAGCCCCACCTGAAGATCTGAACGTGGGAAGTGCCATTAGTGAAAGAGAAGCACCATGAACCCCACAGTGTTCAAAAACTTCCTTGTTCGGGTCACAGAAAAAGACCTTTATGCCGATCAAGTGATCGGCTACAACCCCGCTGATGTTCGAGAATATGGATATGTTTAAATAAGGCATCATCAACGAGAGATTGAGTAAGGTTTAGAAGAACTGAAATTGAGTTTTTCCTTTTACCCACTGAGAATGTCAATGGCCGGAGGTGTATATTTTGCTGAATGGAGATTGCAGGCTTAGGAACCTAAACTAACGTGTTATGTCCCCTTTTATAGACTTTGCCCATCACAGAGTCCTTCTCAGACGTGCACCGGACGTGGGCATCCTTAGGTTGCGAGAGTGGATGTGTTTCTGAATGTGTATACACACGTTCCTAACATGATGGAGGATATGGACCACATTCGGTAATGTTACCGAGTTTAACGGAAGAGAAAAAAATCCAACATTCTCCCATTTGGTCTATATATTCCATTATTTACTATAGTAAGAAACAAAATACATGAATCATGACGATATGTTCTCTAAAAATGAGTATTATCTTCCATATATCATAATGCATAATGTTTCTTAATAATAGCCCATATTAAGTTGAATAAACCCTATGTTTATTTTAGGTTCAAACATTAATGATATTTTTCAATAAATAAATGAATGTGTACATAAGAAAAACAAATATGATCCTGAAACTTACACAGACCTTGCTCAAAGTATGTTGGCAGCCAATTCATCAACACGTATAAAGCATTGTGGAATGTGAAATTGTTCACCACAATAGCCCAAACCGGCATGCTTCCTATAATTCTCTGCCATGGGATCCCTCCTTTTCCCGCAATTCCATCCTTCATCTTGATCCTCTAAGCCACTTTAGGCAACAAAATTTCTCCGAAACCGCCGTCTTTTATAGTTGGATAATCGGCACCGGCTTAGTTCAACCAAAGCAGTGACCACAAAAGTCCCTAATGCTGCAAAAGTGTATACAATTGAGAACCCCATTCTCTCTATGTAACATATGCATGTGCTGAAGAATGTGAAGACCACAATCAAGTAACGCTTTGGAAATTTCACCCACATTCTTGTTTAGCTCAGCTCTATTTGGACCAGGACAAATTTCCAAACAGTTTACTTATTCTCTCTTTCTCCCTTGTAATTGGTGATTCAGGAAAAAAAAAAAAAAGAAAGGAAAAGAAAAGAGAAGAAAAGTGACAGCAACTTCTTGCCTTAATTTTGTGACCTCTGAGATCTAATGGGTTATATCTTGGTCATTGATGCCAACATGCATGACAATATGTATCCACGGTCCATCAAGATGAATATCATTTTTTTTTTTTTTTTGGCTGAAAAGACACTAATCATCTAAAGGAACCTTAAATTGTCACTCTGATGTGCCATGATGTCTTTTCAACTGAGCATTTGACTTGAATTTGGCCAAATATCTCATTTAAATTTAGAAAAGAAATTAACATCTTTGGACAAAGACAAAATCTGAGGATTACGGTTACTCAAAAATTTAAGAATGTGATCAATATAATGAGATATTTGGCCAGATTCAAAGAAAAATAAAACCCAGAAAGTAGGTGCTTGTAATTAGAAGTCCTTTTTTGAAACTGTCAAAATAAACGTTCCAAATATTATAAAAGAAAAATGGGAAGGAATTTGTAATAAAAAAGGACAAGAATACCACCAAAACAACGTAGTTGTAACCACCTTAGAATTAAGACGTTAACAAACAAGAGCACATGTTGCTCTGAATTTCTAATCTGGGAAAAGAAGGGGGAAAAAAAAAGTCTTCGCAGTTTTTTTTTTAGACTAGACTTTCTTGTCACTCTCATGCTCAAAGTCATGTTAGTTGAAAGACGTATTTTTCATTACAAGAGTAATTATTTTTCTCCTTTGCCAAGTCATTATTAGACAGTTTTTCCTTTTTATTTTTATTTCTCTCTCTATATATATGACTTGTGTGACAGTTGATCACGCGTTTTGACATTAAAAACACGTGTTTAGAAAATATTTCCTGTCCCTATCTGCTCGATGTACTTGTCGACTCATATAAAAAATGCTTTTTTTAGACAGTTTCTCTCTTTAGTCTCTCCATCTCTCTCTCTCTGAGACAGTTGATTTCATTTTGCATCTTTCTTTTTAGGAAATTTTTTACCTGGCGATTGATAGTTGATACATGGTGTTAAATATAAAAATTATTATTAGTCTATCTCTTAAGAGTTTAAATTTTTGAAATAAATTAATAAATTAATATAGTATCAGAGTAGAATGTCATGAGTTTAAACTCACATAATTACATTCTTACGTAAAAAAGAGTGTTAAAATATAAAAATACGCTCTAAGTTTTTGGGATAAATTAGTAGATTAAGATATGGTTTTCAGTTTTCACTTCTGTTTTTCGTTAGGAATCAGTTTTCACATATGCTGTTCACGCTTTCGTCACTATATATTGTCTTTCTAGTAAATCACTATGTTCTCTTCGAAAGCAATGCGATAATAGCAAAGAAAATTCTACTATGAGGTCAAAAAAAGGGGGAGTTTTTTTATTTTATTTTTTCGACACCTCTCTATAACAGATTTAATAATTAATAGAGCGTTGATTTTTTATTTTAAGTAAGAAAATAGATATGTCGATGACTCAACTTTTATTTCAGTTTTTTATTACCAACTCACATAATGAATGAGTTGTTAATTTTCCTTAGTATTTTTAATTTTTACTATTGATTGAGGTGATATTTTCTAAACACATAATAATGAAATACATGATATGTCAATTGTATTAAAACTTTAAAATAAAAACTGGGACCTCTATCGTCGTTATTGTTATTATTATTATTATTGTTATTGTTATCATTGTTATTATTATTATTATTAGTTTCTTTCTCAAGGTCAGCGGGACAACATTTTTCTATTTTTTTTTAAAAGAAAAGGAAAATATTGTGATGGACTTGATCGGGCCCATTACTGAGCCCGGAAGATCTAAACGGACCCTCCAAAGAGGTCCAGCCCAATAACAGCGCCCTCCGTCGCTGTGAAAAAACTGGTATTGAACTACAGCTGTTAACAACCGCGATCAACGGTTACCGGCAACTGCCAAGTCACCGCCTCGGACAAAACGAAAAACAATTAAAAGAGAGAGAGAGAGTTGGTGACTAAGGTACCAGACAGTACCACGCTACGACACGCTCCATTTCGTCGTTGAACTCGTTGGGAAACGAGCCCTTAATCGGCGCAGTCAACGGCCGTCAACGACACCTTTTCTTTTTTTATGTATTTCTTTCCCTTTTTTTTCCAGTCCCATCATCCAACGGCTCCCATTAACCCAGCCGCAATCTTTGAAATACGACACCTTTCTTATCCGGTAATCTAACAACTTTCACCCACTCCAATGTCGCCACGTATTGGTAATTCCCTTTCGTACAAACCATAAAGTCCACCGGGTAACCTGAACTGCCGGTTCCCGAAAAGAAACCCACATGACAGCAGATCCTTTTTGGTTTTCCTTTGTCAACTAAAACAACTTAAATAAACTCTTCCAGAATCCTATTAAAAGTTGAACAACAGTTTTGCATTTATCACCGAGAAAGCTTTTTTTTTTTTTTTTTTGCTCCTCCTTCTCGAATTCGTCTTTCTGGGATCTTGGTTTTGTTTTTTTATTAGCTCTTACCATAAATTTGTACGCCAAGTTCGTTCAAGGTTGGTGCTTTTTGGTTTAAGTAGATTCCAATTCATTTCTTATTTGTTATTTTATTTGCAATTTCTTAGATTTTTGTTTTAGCTTTAGTTATCTATCTTTGATCCCTTTAGTTGTTCATGTTTGAGTTTGTTCTTTGATCAAGCACTAGAATTTTCTGAAATTTGCTAACTTGATTTGGGTTGTTGGAGAAATTTGATTTTTCTTTTATTACGATTTTACGCGTTTGTTGAATCTATCAAGCCCGAATTTCTTCTTTGGATATATTTTTTTCTCTCTCTTCATTTATTCTTTTGATCCTTTTGTTTAGATTTAGGGATCAACTACGACTTTTTTGTTAAAACTTTATTTATTATTAATTTTTTTTTTGTCATTGAATTGCTTGATCTTTTTGCTTAACTTTAGATTTCTTTGGGGTTTTACAGGTTTCCAAATATAATACATTCGAGCAACGACATTGAAGAAAAATTGTTCAGCAGCTAAAGTGGGTTTGAAAAGCCTCTTTTAGATAATATAAAAAGGAGTGTTTGGAAAAAAGGATTATTTATTGTAATAAATAAGTGGGTTCATGTTTTGGAAACTTATATATGGCTGCAGGGACTGAATTTCCACCTCCACTTTCTTTAGTTGATGGCAACTACAGAAAGGTCAATATAACTATAACCAAAGATGAAAAACCAGAAACTCTAGAAACCATAAAAGAACCAACCCTTGGGAAACCTCCTAGGCACATCTCATCAATTAGGCATTCTGTGAGCTCTGCCCAGTTGAATCATGCCACTGAGGGGGTAAGTAAAAGCCTATGTTCAGCAGTGTTACTTGGTCTTTCTTTGCTCGTCTGTTAAATACTTTCCTTTTTTTATCCTTTGCTAGGATTATGATATTGGGATTGTTAGTTCCAAGCCACCGTCCGATGGTAACGGGACATTCGTGCCTATTTTTCGGTCGGGAAGCTGTTCCGAGATCGGATCAAAAGTGTCCATGGAGGACGAGCACATATGCATAGACGATCTTCTTGAACATCTAGGTGCAACGGCCAACTTAACTTCTCCTGGAGCTTTCTATGGGGTCTGTAAGTTGGTTGCTTCTTTCATTCACATTATAGAACTCTTATTATTACTTTGCTGGTTTGCTGGTGGTGATCACAAATATCATACCATGGATTTGTGAACCGAACATTGTTGTTTTATTGCAGGTCTTTGATGGCCATGGCGGTACAGATGCAGCTTTATTCATTAAGGAGAACATTTTAAGGTTTATAGTCAACGATGTCGATTACCCATTTTGTGTGGAGAAGGCTATTAAGAGCGCTTTCTTCAATGCCGACCACGCATTTGCTGATGAGGGTTCTCTTGATAGTTCCTCTGGTACCACTGCACTAACTGCCCTTATTTTTGGAAGGTAAGAAGTATTAACTGCGTATTCTCTAGTTTATGTATGTCCACAATCTGTAAACTGATGCTCAATAGTTTTAAAATGTAATTGAAGTTGTTCTTTTAGTATATATTATGTTGCAGCTAGCTATCTCAATATCATGTTCTGAGACATAATTCTTGTAATTTTCTTTATCAGGACAATGTTGATTGCCAATGCTGGGGACTGTCGAGCTGTGCTCAGCAAACGGGGAAGGGCAATCGAGCTGTCAAAGGACCATAAACCCAATTGCATCTCCGAGAGATTAAGAATCGAAAAACTTGGTGGCGTTGTCTACGATGGCTACCTTAACGGTCAACTATCTGTGGCAAGGGCCCTCGGGGATTGGCACATGAAAGGCCCCAAAGGCTCTTCATGTCCCTTGAGTGCAGAGCCAGAGCTTCAGGAGGCAATCCTGAGTGAAGAAGACGAGTTCCTGATTCTTGCCTGTGATGGCTTGTGGGATGTGATGAGCAGCCAGTGTGCAGTCACAATGATAAGGAAAGAGCTGATGCTTCACAATGATCCTGAGAGATGCTCCAGAGAGTTGGTTAGGGAGGCCCTTAAGCGCAACTCCCGCGACAACCTCACAGTTGTCATCGTTTGTTTCTCACTGGACCCACCGCCTCGCATTGAAATCTCAGCAGGAGCATATCTGCAGAAGGTTTGAGTCTTCTTCAGGATGCCTTAGATAGTAGTTAGTGTATAATTTATTGGAATCGATTATGCTCAATAGCCTTCGTGGATGATATTGAACCACCAGTTACACTTTTTAAGGGGTCCTTTTTGTTTCTTTTTTTTTTTTTTCTTGGGGAAGATTTATTTTCGTTAGCATCTAGTATTTCATGACTGTCTTGTACATAATAGATTGGCATTATATGTTTATATTATTTTCAGAATCCATCCTATCAATTTGAACCCGAGACTCTGTTTGTATGTAAATTGTAATAGAAACTTTTGAATGCCAACTAGAAATCATTAGCGTAATATAACCAGTAAACGATTAAGCCAAAACGATGCAACAGAAATTAAAGGGCACGATGCCCATAAAATTCGATATAAAAATTGACACCACGGAAGACTCAGACTAAATTAACTATGGCTGCAATGACATCATCAGAGAATATAAGGTACATTTGCAAAGTCAACACTATTGGTATTGGAGAAGCCAGGTCAAAATTTGTTGCTGAGGAAAGAATAGATAATAGAAGACCTATAACATCCCAGAAGGGGAAAAATCTCTTAGGTGAAATGATTAACAAGCATGAAATATCTGCACACCTAAGAGAGATACAGAAGGGAGTGCAATGGTAAATACTCAGATTCGCGGTCGTTTTGCCGTATTATGATCACCCTCTTTCAGTTCTTCTGTGGTCTCATTCTCTTCAGCACCACCATTCTTGTTTTTCTTTCCATCATATTTGAAAGTCCAACCGGCAAAATCAGACTCAGCAAACAATGAGGTTGGAGTTGCTTTGTAGAATGCTAGTGGAACTTGTTTTACCCTTCGTCTGATCTGTAGTTTAAATTTTGAAGCAGTTCAGTTGCCGTTTGCATAGAACTAACTAAACTGAGAAAAACCTAAATAATTAGCGCGAAACAAGATAAATTGAACTTTATCCTCTCTATCCATAAGTGGTTCATAAAACAGATGGCTATGACTACTATTAAAAAAACCTGGCTAGCATCTTGATTACAAAACTTGCATGGATGTAAAGACGATGTTAAAATTAGATTGTTCCAGACGATAAATGGTGAAGCTAATACTCTGCAGAGCTCCTAAACGGAGAAGCTTTGATTCCTCCAGATACAAGCCATGAAAATAGTTCAACTAAGACATATTGACAGGCAGGACGATGATGGAAAAGCAACGCAGCAAATTATATGTTTTTCTGTTTAAACAGGTCAACTAAGAACATGACTTTGGTAACTATAAATTTCAAATACGAACTGAATGGTGTTAAAAATTACCTCGTCTCCAAATATTGTCGAATATGAACCTGAGCTGAAATCTTGAATAGAAATTTCAGTTGTTTTAGCTCTGACTGTCAGATCATTCTCAAGTGACAAAACAAATCTAATAGGATAGAAAGAAGAAGCATTAGAATATAGGGAATAGTTAGATAACTAGATTTGCAAAAAGACACGTAAGAGCATTATTGTTTATTACAAAAGCATGTACCTTGAAACAGGAGGGCAGTAATGATGACGGAGTGTATCAATTTCCCAAAGTGAACTTCCTACACCAAATATAATAATCAATATGTAAATACTTCAATAAATAAGCAATACAGCCACTCAGTTTTGTATACATGTGTGCATGAACATCGATGCATCACAAGTCCTTTTATGTATTAAAGGAAAGCAATATGAGACTTACTCATGGCACGTGACTTTTTCGGATCTCTTTCCTCGTCATTAAAATGATCAACGCCTAGTTTTCTGTCTGACACATCCGTCCCAGTTCTAGCGTCATCTGCATTATCAGAAACCCTTTTATCTGCTTCTGTATCTTCTTTAGCAGCTTCATCATCTTCCTGCACAAACATTAAAACTTTTAATCTTCTCAAAGTGCAGAGAAATAAAGAGAAAAGGTGCAAATTTATCACAAATTAGACCATTTAAATCTTTCACTTGGAACAAAAAGATAATGGATACGACAAAAAACAACAAATAAAGTAGGATTTTGTATCTACCCGGTGCACCAAACAGTTTATTGAAGGATGTCTTCTTAGAAGGTTATGAATCAGCGCTACAATGACCAACCCTCCTGAAGGAGGAACTGAAATTGACAATCGGCTAAGCTTTTTAGCAAAAGCCGAAGCCAAATATGCAGGGAGAAGTGGTGACTTTAAGCAAGAATCAAGAAGCTGCAGATTAAATAATCATATTAATGCAAACATAAAACGCACATGACAGATAACATTTCAACACCAAACGACTATTAGTGCAAAGCTAATTAGCATTACCTGAAAAAACTTTGCCCGATGTTTTGCCATAAAGATTGAAGGCGTCAATAGTGCATAAAGCTTTTCATAGAAGTTGGGATACTCTAAACCATGTTGTGTCAAGAGGATGTAGAGACTACTAAGAGCCATCACACTAATAACACCACCAATGTCGTATGATTTTGTCAAGAAGTCGCTGCATAATGACAAGTAATTTATCAGAGTCAAAATAATGAAAGACGCATAAAATCTACTCTTAATTTACAGGCCATTTGATCAGAGTTGATTGAAATTTCAATATAATTCCTTCCTTGGAAGTTACCCCAATAACAAAACAAGCATACCATAGCATAACGGGATTAGAAAGATGAGGAATAACCGCCTGATGGAGACTGACAAGAACCTGAGCATAAAAAAGGCAGCAATATCAGAAAATAAGAAGACATACTAGTTATACATATTATTCCTTTGCAACTCAAACCAAAAAGCCCAAATAGCTTATAGCACAATAATTCATCTCTCTCTATTTCTAAAGCACACTCTTTAAACAAAATTATTCCTTTTACCTCAAATTTTAACAGTTTACCATAAAAATCAGCAGTAAAAAGAATCCAAATTAGACAACATTAATGCTTATAGAAGCGGCCGTTGTAAAGTACAGAAATAATATAATCATGTTTTAAGGGCACTACAACTGAAAAATTACGGGGATCTTACTTGCTTGTACACATCAAGTGGAAGGGGCAACCTAAGAAAAGTAATCCAGGCTTTAGTAAATTTTAGTTTCATCCTCTTCGCAATAGTTGATGCAGACAAAACCTGCACACGTGTAATATAAATCAAAAGAACAATGAACTTTCACATTTAAGAAAACAAAAGAACATTGAATGAAACTTAGATATTTCAAAACAGAAAGAAAGAACGGACTACGTAGTAGAGTCATGGATAGAGAAAAGTACCACAGCTAGCAGCATTTACACAATATAACAATACATAGCTCATATTTTACCTTCGAATTATTCTTCTCGCTTTTCCTCTTTTTGCCTTCTTTCTGCTCTCCGGAAAGGTTTTCATTTTCACCTTTTTTATACAAAATAATCTTATTCAATGATAAGGGGAACAAAGAAACGCAAGATGTAGAGTTCAATAAATCAAAAGAGAGAACTTTTCCCTCAACAGGAATAAAAGCAGAAAAATAAGATCAAAGATGGTATAATCAACAATAAAACTTTATCATACAAAACAAAGAGGATGCTGGGAGCAACGCCCAGGGGAGAAATTACCTGATTCACTCCACATCTCATGGTCCATTTTGTCAACTGATCCTTCTAGTGCGGGTATGCGGGATAAAACTTGATGAATCTTGTGAATTAAGTGCTCTGTGCTGCAAGAAAAGCATTGCATTTAATTATCAAACGCTCACAAAGCCATAGCACCAATCAATCAAGGAACCTAAGATATTTCTGCAATAGAGATCAGCTGTAAAGAGACTCAAGGGAAAAAGAATCCAATTTCAAAGCTACGTACCTTTCGATAGAATGATTCTCCTTGTTGCCATTTGTACCTAACAACGGGGAAATAAGTCAAACCGCTAAACAACAACCGAGATTTTGTATGTATTGTATTATAATAACCATGGCCGGAAGGTACCTGGGAAGCCTTTCTCTTCCAATGTCCTAGAAATCTTTTCCACACTAATGCAGGTAAAATATCTGTGCCAAACAGATCAACGTAAGAAGAGAAGAAACGTGAACAGACTACTAGTCTACTACCCAAATACTAAATATATATAGTATATACTATTTCAAAACTGAGAAATGAACAAGCAAAAGGAATGCTAAAATACAACAACATTGTAATCGTACCGCACATCAATGTACTTGAAATACTTGGAAACCAGCAAGTCCAACACGAAATCAACCGGGCTTGTAGAGTGAATCTAACAAAGAATTTAAAATAAATAAAAAAAAAAAACCAACAACAACAACTTTTTGAGTTTCTGCACAAATTGCAACAAAAAAAAAAAAAAAACAAAGAAAGAAAGCAGCATAACATACAATGCTGTATATAAGCTTGTGGTATATAGCAGAGTTAAACCTTCCTCCATTCCCAAGCTTTACGAACTCCATTAACGTATCCAGGACAACCTCCTACAAAACCATCCCCACAAACACACAAAAATGAGACAAATTTGCCAATTTCAAAAGAAAAACAAAATTACGAAAACCTACATTGAGAGTTTCATCAGACTGCGGCGAAACCGAGACGTCGACGAGCGACCTGACGAAGTCGTGGAACTTGGCTCGGAGCCATGTCCGGTAGATGAGGTCGGGGTCGTCCGTGGCGGCGGAGAGCTTGGCGGAGGAAGGAGTGAGGTCGGAGAGGACGGGGGTGAAGAAGGAGTGGAGAGAGAGGAGGGATTCGAGGGCGAACTGAGGAGGCGAAGAGGAGGAGACGAAGGAGAGGAGAGTCGGAAGGTTGTTGATGTGGGCCCGGGAGGAGAGAAGCTGGTGGCCTAGGGTTTTGAGGTGAGAAAGCGTGGTGGTCTTCTGCTTCTTTTTTTGCTTCTTCGAGAGAATGGAAGCCATTGTTGGCGGTGGTGCGAAGCTCGGCGGGAACGGAAACTGAGAGACGCACGCACAAAGACTAATCGAGGAGAAGAAGAGCACGTTTGATCGGTGCTTAGGTTTTGAGAATAATACTAGTTTTATAAAACGACATGTCGTATTGATTGACTTGTCTGTCCTTTTTTTAAATGGCTGTTTACTGTCGTTTAGTATTAAAATCTGCGCGTGGAAAATGTTTGTTTCTTTAAGTTTGTTGTCGTTTTTTGAGCAAAAAAAGTTTGTTGTCGTTTTAAGAAGAACGACACGTCCCTTGAGGTGTTGCAAAGGACAGTTACAGTTTCTTGTTATTTAAACGTCAAACGGGATGTCATTCTTCACAATTTTTTTTTTTTTTTTTGGGGATCATTCTTGAGAAGTTCTAATGCCTTCAAGTCGGTTAATACTATTAAATGGAGTAATTATTCAATACACCAGTTATACCACTCGTTTTATTAATATAATACACATGTTTAATGAAAATACATTTAAATATTTTGTCTATGTCAACTTTTTGTATTTATATTTCTCTTTCCTAATGTTAAATGTTAATAGCATTGATTACTGAGTCAAAACCATCACGATAATTCTACCTAATTCCATTATTTTAATAAATTTATTTTAAATTAATTACTTTTATTTCTAAAATACCATTATTCAATTTGTGTAACATGTGGCGAGTCTGTTCAAAACACTAACAGAAAAAGAATTTTTATTAACAATTTATAATTCAAGAGGAATGAGTATTACGTGTTAAAAATTAAGGAGACAAAGTGTCGCATGAATCATTGTTGAAAGAAATTTTTATAATTAATCTCACTTTTCTTCTCTTACATATTCATAAAGAACCTGCTCCAAACAAAAAATAAACAACCTGCTCCAACAAACATCTGCTCGTAAATCTTCTCGTTTGCTAAACAAGTTTTTTTAAAAACAAAACAAAACAAAAAACTAGGACATAAAAATTAGAGTTACAAACAACATAAAAACTTGTACATATTATTAGGATTTTTATTCCTATATGACATGTGTAATTGGCGAGGGATTTGTGTTTGTTTGTTGGCAACCTTGTATCAAATCAATTTAATTATGTGTTGTTGTTTTTACACTTTGTTTTCTTAATTTGTTGATTGATTTCCCCATAATTTGTTTCCATAAATAGACTAATTTAATTGGATAATTGGAGATTATATTAGTTGTCAACACAGGTTGACTTTTGAGCTAATATTCAGATTCTTTTACAGGATATGATTACTGATTATATGAGATAATATTTTTTACTTGCTGATCACAAATTTATCTCATCTATTCTTGACAATTTCGGATTATGTGGATTTGATCTTTGCACATATATGAGTCTAAGTTCATTGAGGATCAATTTAATCATTGACCAAGTTTTTCCGGATATTTCATTCAAGATTTTCATGAGCAATTTCGGATATGATTGAATTAGAATTTGATTAACAAATCACGAGCTGTCTATCTTTAGTGTTTTGACAACTGCAAATTCAAGTAATCTGTCCAGTCAATAAGCTAGCTGTCTATCCGCACATTGCGAAGGATTTCGAATTTGTTCATACGATGACAGCTGGAATTTCAGGAAAACTTAAAATGGAAAGATTTTGTGCATCTGAAATTCAGTGAAGAAATTGCAATAAGATCTTAACCCAGATCAAGTGGAGAGATTCTAGACCTCTCTTATATCCGAGTGGTTCATTATTTAAGGAGGTCGCCTTGAGGCCTTCATGTTGAGAGATCGCGGACAAAATTTGAGTGTTCATATTGTGAGAAAAAATTGAGTGTTCTCCTTTGTGCTTAAGAGTGAGAGAAAACCAGAGCTTTTGTTAGGCTTAATTTGTAACTCTTAACCGATGTATGCGGACTTTGTGAGGATCCAAAGTAGGTCTGAGGAGGAGCCAAAGGCGGATTGTGGTGCTCGGAGTAAGTTAGGAAGATTGAAGGCAGGCATCGTGCTTAGAGTAGGTCAAAAAGACCGAAGGCAGATCGTGAGTTAAGAGTTAGTGTAGATTCAAGAGATTTGTTGTAATTTCAAGCTTTGCAACTGTATTTAATGATAGTGGAATCCTCTTTGTGCTAGTGTGATCAGCACATGTGATTTTTTCTTGAAAGAGTTTTTGGCCACGTTAAATAACCATATCACTGTTCATTTGATTATTCCACATTTTACTTCACAACATTTTTAGTTTTTGTTTAAACAGGATTTATTTAACCGTATAGTACATACATAACGCGCTATTACTGGGTATGTCTGGTCTAACACAGATAACTAACACAGATAACTATAGGTATATTAATTATGGATAAACAAAAGCCAAGAATAATAATGAGAGAGAGAGATAAATTTACATTTCCATGTCGTTTGCTTGCAATGTAAAAGAAAAGTCATTTTGCAGTGTTAAAAGAGTGGCAAAATCTATATCCAATTTCTCAAAAGGACTTACAAAATCCTCTTCAGTGAGGCATTCTCTCGAGGGTAATAAATTTTAAATGATTTGTATACAGCATCAGTAGGAGACATCATTGGAAGATATTAGTCAAACAAAAGAATCCTGTGCATAGGAGTATGTATTACATATTATCATGCCAGTTCCGTATCACTTCACAAGTCTGCTGATTACCAAATACCGCTTGAAGAACAAGGCTCTCTTTCTTATCAAGTTAAATTGTTGAACTTGGCAATTAGCGAACTCCAACCACAAAAAGCAGTCAGCGCACGAACTTAAATCATCTAGAAGTATAGGACAGTGCTGTGACTCCTGATCGTTAAACTCACTCGCGCTTTAACAACAATCCTTTCGTGCGAACCCCCACTGTAGTGCCTAAACATGTTGAGCTTCATGATCTCTGTCCATCAGCAAGGCAACAAAAGTGTTTTTACAGCTCTAAACTGATAAAAACCAATACAACTATTGATACCATAAGAAGGCTAAAACATGTGTTCATCAGAGTATCAAATTTTTGCCACTAACCTCGTGCTGCATCAAGAATCTGCAACCCCAAGTTCTTTGAGAGAATCAGGACCGACAAGGAATACACGTCTTGATGTTTGGTAGCGGAAAACAACTATACCTTTATACGCTGTTCTTGGTACACCATCCTGAGATGGTGAGAGAAGAAAAAGAAACAAGATTACTTGACAGTTCAAATAAAACAATTTACACCCAAGAAAAATGATAACTTCTGAGAAGTCAGCTGAACATATTTTGCATGCACAGCTATTTCTGACTTGCACACCATTGCTTCAAAGAAGAAAGAGGAAATCACCTTCCACTCCTCAAAAATACCAAACTTCCTTGCAATGTGTTCAAAGTCTGACTGATCTTCATACTTTATTCGCACATCCCCGACAATATTAGAAACTTTCAGAACAATGTCGTTTCCATGAATAGGTTTAGCTTTTCTAACAACATCAGCAAAGTGCTTCACATAATTGTCCTATAAAAAGGAGGGAAATTATCAATTCGAAACATAATGAAAGTGGGAAACGTTTAAGTGAAAATAATATGCACAGTACCTCCATCAGGTAGCTCAAATCCATTGATTTCCAGTTAACCTTTTGCAAGGAGAAGAAAGAAAAACAGCATGAAACATGATTTAAGAAAAAGAAACACAAACTGCAAAACAGTCACAAGCCAGCGATGCAGATTTGTACTTACCTGGACATCGTTCAGCTTGATTGGTGCAAGATATTGATGATAAAATTGGCCCATACTAGATCCCTATAGAAAATCTCAAAAAGACTTGAATGAAGCATGACTGTATGCATAAAAGTGACACAAACATATAACAAATGCTATGTTTAGAATTCATTTGGTCACAAAGCCTTCCAGTAGAAAGTACCAATTATCCTGAGTTTTGCTTAAGATGGATTTAAAGCGATATGATGGGAATGAAAGAAAACGAGGAAAAGCCTTGTGCGCGCGCGCACGCGCACGAAACTGGAGCTCCTTCAACTTTATGTTCAATCCATTTTTAAGAAACAAAATATCTGTGTGAATATGGATTTTTAGAGGACTTGGAAGAAGATTCTGGGAACAACAGTAATATCCACATAATCCATTTTAATCAACTCTGTGAAGAAATTCAAAAAAAAATAATAATAATAAAATAAAAAATCCAATGTTGAGATGGCAATGAAAAATATCCTCATACATACATGTTCACCAAAGTTATAGGTTCTGCACACTTCTGGACGAATAAATTGTCGACCTTTGTGATTCTCCTTTGATCTCAACCAGTCATCCCAGTAAGTGAAGTGTTGTCAAAGAAAACAATTTTAGAGGACATCGAACAAAAAATCATCACGACTATGACCTAGACAACAACACGCACTTAAACAACAAGGATATGCCTTTGGCCACTTTGGGGACAACTCATCCCATGTAGATCTAGCCAGCATCCATCCAAGCCCAGGAAAGAAATCTGAGCGATAAAGCATGTCTACACAACAAACGAAATAGCACATCACAGCATGAAGATAACTGATAACTTTCTTCAAGCAATAACACGAGATTGTCAGTAAATTGATTGCATTACGACACAGAAAGTGAAAGAGGGGAAAAAAAGAGCAAATATCAGGCAGAGAAAAAGCTAGTGCTACCAATGTCGTGGTCTACCATGTCCATAACAACTCCAACAATGCGGAGTTTATGCTTGCCACACTCACTAAATTAGTACATTATGTTGTTTCAAATGAAAGTGATGGTAACCGTGAATTTTATCATAGAATGATTAATCAAATGGAAGAAGTTCGAAGAGAACTCACAAGGATCATGCACGTACTGCTTTTGCCCATTGTCATTCCATGAGGAAACAGCCATGATGGACCTACCACAGTTATAGTACCAAAAATGTGAAAGGGGAAACAAACTACTTTTTGAGGCTAAACCTTTAATATCCCAATTATATGAGTTTGACTTCACAATAAGACATACTTGTCTTTATCAAGGAGAGCTGCAGCAGCCTCAAAGTAATCAAAAAAATCAGGAGCGATTTCCATATCATCTGCATTAAAAATAAATTACCTTACTATGCAATTCCTCTAAATATAGAGTAATATCGCAGGGACAAAAGTGACGAGACATTTTAAAGGGAAGACAATTTCACCTTCAAGTATGATTACTCGGCTGAAGCTGTGCTTGTAGAACAATTCATCCAATGCCCATTTGTAATGACCTAAAAAATGGGTCAATAAGCAATGAATTTAGTAATACCATAACAAGAGGGAAAAGATAGAGGGAGAGAGACAGAAAGAGAACATACGGGAAATCTTGTAATATGCAATCAACTCCCCTGGCCTTTCAGTCTCCACCGGTTTATAATCCAAATGCTGCAATTAATGCAATTCAAGGGTTTAAGGTAGCTTGGTCTAGATCTTGTAAGGCCATTTATAAAGATATATGCAGAGCATGAGAATAATGTCACTGGCCGTAGATAACACAGATTCAACCATATATCCAAGAAAACAACGGAAAAAATAAATAAAGAACTCGTATGTTTTCAGAATGCTTTTGAACCATCAGCATTCAGCATGTTATAAAGCTAGAGGAAAAGTCAATCGTGTAACATACAGTTGATTGCTAGATGTGTAAATAAGCAAATTCAGAAACGGTAAACAAACCATTGCACACTACAGGAACCTGTAAGGCACCTCGTGCAATAAATAAATCCTTCGCTAGTTGGCTTGGCATGGTCAGTAAATTTGAGAACTTGAACCAACTAAGAAAAATCAGACAAATGCATTGGACCACGCTCTCAAATATGTAGCACGCTACACTAGACTTCACATGGACATGTTATCTACCTGCATATATGTGAGTTGATCGTAGCTCAAAGCCAAACTTTTCACATGTGGATCAGATCCATCCTGAGGGGGAAAAAACAATAAATAGACCAACCTTGTTCAAATATCTATTCTATTTTATTATAAATAAATAATGAAGAATGATAATTTGAAGGACAGCATACAGTTCTTTCTTGAGATATTAACCTTTTTGTACCCTATGTTTTGGGTTTATTCAAAAGTTATACCTTCGGTTTTTAATCTCATCAAATGTCTACCTTCAAATTAGATTTAATATTCAAATTTATACCTTTCTACAGTCAACCACCGATTTTGACCTTTAAAATACCTAAAATACCCTTTAATAAAAAAATTAAAAATAAAAATAGAAAAAGAAAAAAGATAATTAAAAAACTTAAAATTACGGTATTGATCTCAAAAATTTGCAAAATACCATTGAAATGTGTTTTTTGTATTTTTAATTTTTAACTTTTTATAGTATTGGAAAGTTCTAGTTTTATTTTCTCTCTTTTTCTCAAGGATACTTGGTCATTTAAAAGGTCAAGATCAATTATTGACCGAAATAAGATATAGATTTGTATATTAAATCTAATTTGAGGGTATACATTTGATGAGATTAAAATTGAAGGTATAGATTTTGAATAAACCTAAAACACAGGGTATTAAAATATAAATATCCCTTCTTTCTTTCCTTTGGGCACAAAATGAAGCAATGAGATTACCTGGGAGACAAACAGTGGATACTTTGAAGCAACAGATGTTTGATATCTACAGAAAATCATCTATCAGCTAAAATGTGTATGATTTTCACATGTCATGTTATAATCACTGTAAACATAAACACTCACTTTAAAACAGATTTAATGGTCCTCTCCAGATAATCAGCACGATTACATGCCATGATCACAACTGCGGCCACTGGTGCCTAATGAATCCAATAGAAATAAAGATTAGCAGAAGTAGCAGTGATGACTTCTTAGAAGGTAATATGAGAATGACAGATCTGGTTTTATCTTAACCTGTACTTTGTCAATCAGTCTTTGTAAGTCTTTCCCTGAAAAATTCACATAAATTATTGCTAAACACTTTAATGTGCCAATAGATAAACAATCTTACTAATATTGAAGCCCTTCCTAAGATAATTAGAATCCACAAATCAAAAATCACAATCCTCCCTGAGAGAACTTTTTTGAAATATGACTAGTTTCTCCCAACTTAATTTAGTAAAAGGAAAAAAAAAAATTTTATTTGGAAAGAGATTAAGGAAACCTGCGAAAGTTCCATCCCACTCCATATCCATAGTAAACATTGGAGCAGGAGAATGAACTTCCAACAGACAGTCACAGTAAAGAATATTCTCAAAGCAAAACAGGGCAAAAACATCGTTAAAAGCACATACTTTTAAGATCTTCAACAAGGTTCTTCAACTGTATGCATTCTAGTTCTCGGCGATTCCTTTCTTCTGAAATTGTAGTCATTCGTGAGAATTGAGAAAATCAAAATTAGGTCTTATTCTACGCAGATAAAGGAAAAATTGTATCTACATTCCAATTTTTCTACTGCCTTGAAGTTCAAAACTTCCTAAATACAGAAGAAAAAGTGGCAGGGCCATTAAAATGCTAGTATAGCTAAGCAGAAGTGGTCATGCATGAGATTACAGATTCTCATAAGGATGATTGCGCAATGTAAAGGAAATATCACACCTTCTAGGGCCACAATGCGTTCCTGTTGCATGCTTATTTGATCAATTAGTGATCTCAACTGGTTTGTACATTGATTCTCAGATGCAACCTGTTTATATATATATATATATATATATATATATATAGAAATGCAGATTTTATCATGAAATTGCCTGAAAGAACTACTAAATGAAGACAAATTTACGAGGAAAAAGGAAAAGAAAAATAAAATGACAATCATTTTGAAAGACATAAGCGACTTCTTAACTTAATTGCTATTACAACAACTTAATAAGTATATCATAAACACACTTAGATTTATTTACGGAAATAACTCATAAATCAACAACATGTATAAACACGAAATTTAAAAACAAAACAAAATTACTTGGACATACCGCGGCGGCGAGGCGATCTGAGTATTCTGATTGTGTGGCGAAAATTCGCATCTTAAAAAGGCCAAAAAAAAAAGACAGAGAGAGAGAAAGTCAAGAAAGAACAAGAAACCAAACCAAAATATTCGAATCAATTTGAGCAAAATGCGAGAGATCAATTCCACCAAGATTTTTGAACATGAAAACTGATCATTGTTTGGGACTAAAGATTTTTTGTAATAACCTGGATGTAGAAGAACGCCACGGCTGCGAGAAAAAGGAGGAATCGGAAATCGCAGAAGATTTTCGCCATTTTTCTTCTCTTTTACTTGCAGCGAAACTCTCTTTGGGAGCTTCGATCTTGCAGATTTTGAACTTTCTAGAAATTAAAAAGATGTAATTGGAAAAGGGAAACAAATAGAGGGAAAAAATAAGAAGTTCATTTAATTTGGCGGAAAGTCGTCTTCTACCCGCGTTTACTCGACTAGGCAAGTCGATTTATTACGTTCGATAAATTTAGAATTATGATTAATAAATTTAAATTATAATTAATAAATTTAAATTTTAAAATTTAAAATTTTTATAAGAAAAAAATACTATAAAAAATATAAATTATAATTTAAAATCATAAACAGATTCATCAAATAAACATTCCCTTACACTTGCCAACGTGCCCCAGATTTTGACGGATTTTTCTTTTTCTTTTTAGTTATTTAACCTTTTTTTTAACCATTTTCACACCCTATTGGCTTGTTCATTACCGATAAACTCAAAAAAAAAAATTTAAATTTAAATTATAATTTTATTTAAATTCATATTTTTTTTTATAAAATTTGAGTTTAAATAGTGTTAATTTGAGTTTAAAATTAAAATTTAAGTTTAAGGACTCGTTCATTTCACCGATTTGAGTTTTCAGTTTTAAGTTTTTACAGTAAAAAGCTCTCAGAAAATGTCACATCAAACTTTTTTTACTACAGTGAAAAGTTCTCAGAAAATATCATATTTCAGCTCGAATTAAAAACTCGAATCCATGAAGTGAACGATATCTAAATTTTTTTTTTTCAACTCAAGTTCATAAATTCAAACTTAGGTTAATGAACAATATTTTTTATTATTAAAAACATCATAACTTTTTTATTTTAATTTCGATTGTGATGATTTTTTTCTATGCGTTAACAATAAAGAGACGAATAAAAGCTCACCTATATACCCTATTAAAATTCTCCATCACTATTAAGTTTTTATTAAAATATTATTTAAATACAAATTCAAGTTTTGACATACCCAAATATAAACTCAAATAGATTTTTAATTCAAACCGTAACTCAAAATGTGCACATCCAAAGACAAACTTAAATTAGAATCTCAACTCAAACCATACTCAAATACACCTTAACTTAAATTAAGATCTGAACTCAAGTCACCCTAACTAAAAAAATGGAAATGAACAAGCCCTACATTTTTCAAGTTATCAAGTACTTATGGTATTAAGTTATTTAAAAAGAAGTACTTATATTAAGTTAAAAAAATTATATTTTGGATATATTTACATTTTAAATTCATGCTAAATCTTCATATTTTTCAATTAAAGATTAATATTAACTATAAATAGACCTAAATATCATGCATAGTTTTGAATTTTGTTCTCTTTGATTTTTTTTTATTTCTTTAAGGTCGTTTAGGTCTTTTAAAAAATAAAAAAATTTTGATCATCAAGAAAATGTAAGAATTGAAATTTAAAGGTAGATGTGATACAAATTAACATACAATGTATAATTTTTAAGGAAATGAGACAAATACTTTTTTTAGAGTATATGGGTCTAGATTTTTATTATTTACATTTGATTAATTTCTTTTCAATCAAATAATTATATTAGTCAAAATAGTATTAATAGATAGTAAAGAATAAAAATTCATACTCATACACTCTAAGAGTAAGTTTAATAATTTTCTCATAATTTTTAGATAATTGCATAATATAGAGTATAAAATTAAAAAAAAAAATTTATTTTCTTGTCTATGTTAGTCTGCTTATAGTTTTGCCTTTTTTTTTTTTTTTTGGCTATCTATTAAAAACAAAGGATAATTTTGTGTGATGCCTCCAAAACGGGGTGGTAACTAGTAATGCGGAGGTAGAAATTAGCGTGATAAACCACCCACGAAGCACTAAAAGCTCATTACCAATTTGTGTTTCGCGGAATAAACGAGATCTCTTTAGTCAGATAGAGAACAAAATTCTGAACAAGCTCTCACCTTGGCAAGAGAAACTATTTTCTAGTGCTGGAAAGGAAATTCTCCTCAAAGCTGTGGTCCAATCAATTCCAACCTACACTATGAGCTGCTTCAAATTGCCATCATCTCTTTGCAATGATATTGAATCTTTGATGGCAAAATTCTATTGGGGCTACTCTGAGAAGGGTTCAAAAATTCACTGGAAAAGTTGGAAATTCATGTGCAGACCAAAATCTGATTTTAACCAAGCACTTCTAGCTAAACAGGCATGGCGTAATTTGCACTATCCTGATTCATTGCTTGCTAAAGTTTTCAAAGCAAGATATTTGCCTCGTTCTTCAATTTTGAAAGCCAATATTGGATATAATCCATCTTTAGTTTGGCGTAGCGTCAGATGGGGCAGTGAACTTTTGCAGCGAGGCATACGATGGCGTGTTAGGTGCTGGTTCAAGCATAATTTCTTGCTTCTCTGATCCATGGATACCCTCTTCAACCAATTTCAAGCCCCTTACTAATAGCTTGTTACATCAAGACCTGAAAGTTGCTTATCTAATTCTTCAACCGCGATAATGGAACTTTCAGAAACTCAAATCAAGTTTTTCTTCAGGTTGACATTGATCGGATTGCAGCACCCCCTCTCAGCATTCAGCATACTCCAGACCGTTTAGTTTGGCATTATATATCAGGTGAAGTCAGGTTATTTCCTTGCATCAAGTTCTCAGAATTCTGCGTCTGCTTTCGATTCAAGTTTGCAACAAAGATGGTGCAAAAAATTCTGGTCATTATCCATTCCTAACAAAGTGAAGACTTCTTGCTTGGAGAGCCTATCGAGATGGTTTACCAACTGCAGTTGGTCTCTTCCAAAGAAAAATATTAACATCTGCCAATTGTTCTCTCTGTTTGAATGCTTGGGAAATCAGTTTTGCACGCTTTAATCCACTGTCCCGATGCTAAGAAGGTCTGGAAATCCTTAACAATCCATCTGAGTCTTCAATCCATATTCAGATTATCATTTGCAGATATACTCCACTTGCTATCAGAACTCTAAACAAGCAGGAATTAGAATTATTTTTGTGTTTAGCCTGGAGCATTTAGGGAGAGAAATAAAGGGCACGTTCTTTTCTCAAACTTGAGTTTAGTATGTGAGAAAAAAAACACTGTAATAAAAAAGTTAAATTTAAATTTTTATGAGAAAAAAATACTATAGTAAAAAATTTAAGTTGTAATTTGAGTTAGGTAAAAGAACATGTCCAAAATTATTCATGATCTTCCCACTCGAACAACTGATCAGATTGTGTCATGAACATCTAATTATCTACATGAATTCCATTCAACCCAATCTCGTAAAACTACTTAGCATTCTTCTAATCTCAAAAAAAAAAAAATATATATATATATATATATATTAGGCTTAGGTTTTGTTTTTTTTGCATGACTTGAGTTATTACTTGAGTTGTGTATGTGAGAAAAAAATACTAAAACAAAAAAATTAAAAAAATATATTATAACAATATAATTTGAGTCATAAAATGAACATACCCTTAGTGTTATGTTGTAATGTTGATAGTTTTACACTAATTTCTATCTCCATGTTACCACCATGTTTAAGGGAGCGTTTGGTTAGTAGATTCGTATCATGATTCAAATCATAATTCGTGATTCGTTACAATATTTTTTCTCATAAAAAACACACGTAAACCGAGAATAATTCTGAATCATGAAATAGAATCCATCAACCAAATGTCTTCTAAGAAGTGACAGACTGTCAAACGTTACATAAAATGTTACTTCTGTTTTCTATGTTTAAAATGTTTCAAAATTAATAGCATCCTATTTTGATGTGACAAAAATATCTTTATGCTATTTTGACTCTAGAAAAATTACGAAAGACAACATTTGAATTATTCATGGTGGGAAGTTGAAATATTGAATTATAATTCAAGTTTTAATTACAATATTTTTCTCATAAAATTTAAATACATTTTTTACTACAGTATTTTCTCTCACGTGAACTCACTTTTTAATTCGAATGAGTGAAACGAATAGATCTTAAAATGTCAAAAATATCCAACAAAAAAAGAGAGAATTAAAAGTGTCATCATTAAAGTAACACTATTTTATTTTTATCATTATTATGTCATTGATAACGTACGTGTTATATTTTCATAATCTATAAACAAGTCATTTTTTAAGTACTCACATTTTTATACTTTGAGTTTATCTAAAAAGTGTACTATTGATTGTATACTTTGAATTATATTTAATAAGTAATGTCTACCCGTTTTTCGAACAACAATCTATTTTGACCATTAAAACGACTCAAATACCTTTAAAGTGAAGTGAAAAAAAAAAACCCCCCAATACATCTCTGGTTCTTACACCATCCTTTCCTCCACCCGTTACCGGAGCTCGGGACTTAACGGTGCACAGGAAGATGAAGGGGGCGCTATCTCTCACCCTCACCTAGCAAAAGCTACAAGTCCAAAATTCCCAAACCGTTCATGTAGTTGGATACACATCGAGTAAACTCTCGTCGACCACACAATAATTCCAAAAAATAAAAAATAAAAAAAACAACAAAAACAACATTAAAATCTGTTTAGTTTGTTAATTTTAGTTTTTAATTTAAGTTGAGATGTGATTTTATATGAGAATTTTTTATTATAATAAAAAAATTAAATATAATTATTTTTTTAAAAAAAATTTAAATTTTAAATTCAAATCGATAAAATGAACAGACTCTTAATATTCTCTTCCTTCTCGCTGACCATTCAGACACACTCACTTGTCTCTCTTTTCCTTAGACTCTGGGTTGAGAGCTTTCTTTGGTTAGCAAATCAGTTTCCCTTTCTTCCCCATTTCCCTTCTACTGCGTTCATCTGAAGAAAAAATAGAAAGCAAATTTTGAAATGTCTGAAGAACCCAAATGAAGTATGGAACAAAAACTCCTCCACATTTACTAGATATTAAATGCAACAAAAGGAACCTTCAAATGTTTAAACAAGTAAAAAGGAAATAATTTAGCAAAAAGAAAAAGTAAAAGGGAAATAACAATAAGACCAAAACCTCAAAACTAAAAAAAAAAGAAAAAAAAAAAGATCACAGGATTATTTTCTCGATTGATGGTGAAAGGGTTATTTTGTTGACGGGAGGAGAAAAGGGCGGCATGATAAGGGTCTGGACTGTGGGTTGAGGTTTTTTTAATCAACTAGTTTTTTTTTTTTTTTTAAATTCAGATTTTTTTATTTTTAACTTTAAGGAGTGTTTGAGTCATTTATGGTTAAAATTGACTAGGCATTTATTCATTAAATGTAATTTAAAGGTATATAATTGATTAAATTAAAAATTAACTTAATTATCTTTCGTAATTTATAAGTTATTTTTTATAACATATAAATTATAAAAATGTAATTTGTACTTATTTTTTATAGTGACATTAAAATTTTTTGTAGTGATATAAATAATAGAGTTAGAAAAAAAATAATAGTTAATTTTAAAACTTTTTCGGAAAAAAATTATAAGATACGACCTAAGTTAGGCCACCATTTACACGAAGGCACAAGGAACAAGGAGCACTTCATCTTTCATCTTTCGTTACAAGGCCCAACAATTAAGGCGGCCCATTAGAAAAATGCACTGTTAGGCTTCTGTTTTGTAAATATGGGAAATTATTATTATTTTATTTTGAATTGTTTATGATCTTTTCCTACTTATGAACGATGCAATTGTTTACATAAACTGAACTGAAAATAGTAACACGCTCCCTGGAAAAGTGTTTCAAAAGTATAAGCGAGATGCTTTTGCAATAGAGTTTAAATAATTTACAGACATAATTAAGACATCATTCAGTTTCTTGATTTGAATTTTTAATTTAAGTTGAGAAATAATTTATGTGAGAATTTTTTACTGTAGTAAAAAAAGTTATATATTATTTTTTATAAAAATTTTTAATTATAATAAAATTAAAATTAAAAACTCAAATTGATAAAATAAACGAAACTTAAATGTAAATCCACACCTAACTGCTGACTACCATGAGGTATCTCCACGCTAAATAAAAAAGACGAATAATTGTCAAAAGATCAAAATGCCAATAATATGGCGCTTTTCTGGGAAGAAATGATTTTTTTTTCTTTTTGAAAATGAAAATGGGTATTATATGGTGCCTTTTTCTACGGAAAAAAATAGGAAATAATATGGCAGATCTTTTAGAAAAAAATCAACGTAGCACTTTAATTCTTCAATAAAATAAAATAAAATAAAATAACACGGGCACTTCCATTTAAAGTGCGAAATCCAATATTTAAATGATCAATACGATCACGTCAGCTAAAAGATATAAAAAAACCTGTTATGATGCATTATTTTTAGAGCAATGTGACACTTCAATGCTTTATTTTTAAAGTTCAAAGATCAATAATTTCTTTTAAAAAAAAAAAATCCATCTACTTTATTCTCCATTACCCCACACCACAGCTGTCACTATTAATTAGATTAAATAAACTATTTTTCGGCTGATGAAAATAATTGTTAGCTAAAACCCAAAGGGAAAATAAGGTTAGAACCTATTATTGACTGATTCAAGTGCTGCATTGATTTTTTTCTAAACGGGCCCGTTTGACATTGTTTTTAAAAGTTGTTTTTTAACTTTTTAAAAAAAACTACAATAAGTTAGAGCGTTTGGTTAATTATGTTTATGTCCAGTAACTTTTAAAAATTACTGTTAAATTCAGGAGTTGCTTCGCACAACAATTTTTGCTGTCATTATTTAAATTTATTAAAATAACTTTAATAATAAAATTTAATTCTCAATATGACTATTTTACTTTTTCTATACCAAATAAAAAATATTTATTTTTAAAATAATTGTTTAAAATTTTATAATCTTTATTAAATACCATGTTAAATTTCATTCAAGTATTTTTAATAATTATCAAAAATTTTAGAAATGACAATAATAAATATTTAGTAGATGAATAATTTTTTTTCTTGAATAAAAGTAATTTATTTTAAGAACTATTTTAATTAATAAAAATTTTTAAAATATTTTTTATTATGAATATTGACCATAAAAATAAAAATAAAACTAACTATAGACATGTGTGATAAAGTATGTCTACTTTTTTCATTATATATTTCAACAATAATTTCATACACAACTACCAAACACTTAAATTTCTACTTCTAGTACTCAAAGTAATTTTATAAAAATATTTACTAAACACCTATATACTTTTAGTCACATCAACTTATTATTAATAGCACAACAAAAATACAAAATTTTAACAGCACAACAATGTCAAACTGGCCCTAAGACTCGTCTAATTTCACCCAAAAAAAAATTAAAAATAGACTCTTCTAGTTTTTCCTTTCACCAAAGATTATTTTTAGTATAAAAAAATAAAATTGTCTTATTTTAATTTATTGATATTACATACTAGTCAAAACTTTTCCAAGTTTGAGGGCCTCTTCTTGAGTTGAATTTAAGTTATAACTTAAGTTGAAGTTGTAACTTGAGTTTGTGTTTGGTTGTGTACATTTGAGTTATGGTTTGAGATAAAAATCTTTTTTGAGTTTGTGTTTGATTGAGTCAAAACTTGAATTTGTATTTAGATAATATCTTAATAAAAACTCAATGGTGATGAAAAATTTTAATAGGGTATGTGGGTGTGGTTTTATTCGTCTTTTCGTTGTCAATGCATAGAAAAAAAATCATCTCAATCAGAATTAAAATGAAAATGGTATAACATTTTTAAGAATAGAAAAAATATGGTTCATTAATTTGAGTTCGAGTTGAAGGGAAAACTTAAACTCGAGTTTTAGTCCCAAACTCGAGTTCAAACTTAAAAGAACATAAATTTGAATAAAATTAAAACTCAAATTACATTTTTTTTAATTTTGAACCCTGCGGAACAGCCACTTTCTTTTTCAAGAGTTAATAATAAAAAAGTACTTTCTCTAATAGGTTTGCCTAAAAAAGCTTTTTCTTTTTGGAAAAAAATTCATATTTACATCTTGTATTTTAGCACAATTATCTTTTAATATTATGCGTTTTTTATAATTTTAAATTGGTACCTTGAGGTTTTAAAAAATTATTTTTTAGTAATTTGAGGTCATTTTTTAGAATGTAAAATGTCAAATTTACTATTCTCATTACTTTATTAAAAATTAATAAATTTTTAAAAAAATTATTTTTAATTTAAAGCACTATTTTTATTTTTAATTTTTAAATATTTCAAAATTTTTCTAAATTTATTATTAATTTTTTAATTAATTAATGAGAATGATAATTTTAGTATTTTACATTCTAAAAAAAACTTTAAAATACTAAAAAATAATTTTTTTAAAATGTTAAAATATTAATTTAAAATTATTAAAAATTTACGAAAAAATAATTATACTAAGAAAGCAGGGTACTAATATTAAATTTCACCCTTTTTTTTTTATTAAATGGATGTTCAATATAATAGGTCGATTGGCCAATCATCGTTTTTAACCTTCACAATCTCAACTCGTCTCTTCCAGCTCTCCAGTTCAACGTGGTCACTTCTTTTAAATTCCCATTTTTCACTGAATAATACAATAAATACATATTATATTAAATATATAATATCCTCCTTCTTTTATTTTCTCTATTTTTCACTGGATAAATAAATCATCAGATATACTAATTGCTCCTGCTAATAATCCAACAACAAGAAGAGAAGACTTCCTTTCCTTTCTTTCCTTCATCACTCAAATCCAATTCAATCTTCTTTCTTTCTTTCTTCCCCAACAAAAATAAAAACAAATTTCCAAAATCCCTTGAAACCGGCGAATTCTCCGCCATGGGTTTCGGCAGAGACCGCGCGAGCTCGTCCTCCAACGAGCTCCGAGATCCGCCGCCGCCGCCGGAGAGAGAAGACACGGCTCTGATCGGCGACGGCAAGCACTTGTCGTCGCAGCCCAAGACCTTCGCCAACCTCTTCATCGCCATCGTCGGCGCCGGCGTTCTCGGCCTCCCCTACACCTTCAAGCGCACCGGCTGGCTCACCACCCTCCTCATGGTCTTCGCCATCGCCGCTCTCACCCACTACTGCATGATGCTCCTCATCCACACCCGCCGCCGTCTCGAAACCCTAACCGGCTTCTCCAAAATTGCGTCTTTCGGCGATTTGGGATTCGCCGTCTGCGGATCCTTCGGGAGAATTCTCGTCGACGTTCTGATAATCCTCGCCCAGGCCGGCTTCTGCGTTGGATATCTAGTCTTCATCGGAAAAACCATGGCCGATTTACTCAATTCCTCGAAAAGCTTCTACATTTTGGGCTGTTTGCCTTTCCAATTAGGGCTAAACTCGATCAAAACCCTCACGCATCTCGCTCCGCTCAGTATTTTCGCTGATGTGGTCGATCTCGGCGCCATGTCCGTCGTCATGGTCCAGGAGGCTCTCGTCGTGGTGAGAAACGGGGCGGTTGTTAGGGCTTTCGGTGGATTCTCCGAGTTCTTCTATGGTTTGGGCGTGGCCGTTTATGCTTTTGAAGGGATTGGTATGGCCTTGCCTTTGGAATCAGAAATGAGAGACAAGAAAAAATTTGGGAAAGTCTTGGCTTTCACAATGGTTTTCCTATCTTTAATCTATGTGGGTTTTGGGATTCTGGGTTACTTAGCTTATGGGGATGAAACACAAGATATAATCACAGCCAACTTGGGTCCAGGAGTTGTAAGCACTCTGGTTAAGCTTGGCCTTTCTGTGAATCTCTTCTTCACTTTGCCTTTAATGATGAACCCAGTTTATGAAATTGTTGAGAGAAGATTCTGGGGTGGGACGTACTGCTTGTGGCTAAGATGGTTGTGGGTTTTGATTGTGATTTTGGTGGCCTTGTTTGTCCCTAACTTTGGTGATTTCTTGTCTTTGGTTGGGAGTGGTGTTTGCTGTGCTTTGGGGTTTGTCTTGCCATCTTTGTTCCATTTCCTGGTTTTCAAGGATGAGATGGGGAAAGTGGCTTGGTTCTCTGATGTCACCATTTTTGTGGTGGGAATCTTTCTTGGGGTATCAGGGACTTGGTACGCTTTGCAAGAGATGTTTGCTGTTAAGGTCTAGAGTTGAACTTTACCAGAGAAAGAAACTCTATTTGTGGTCTACTTTAGTGGGAACTGAAACCGTATTCTTCAAAGGATGGTTGTTTATTTCATTTAATTTTACAATGGATTGTTCGATTTTTAAGGTGAAAAATGGGGTCATCTCCAATGACCCTATGAAAGTACGACGTTTGTAATGCGACAGAAGTTGTTAATTCGCATTATTCCATTTCCATGGAGTTATACGTAGTACACGGTATCTATGTATCTTTTCCTGTACAATGAAGACATATGAAGGGAAATTTTATATGCCAATTCCTTTTTGTCCTTTTTTTTCCTAACTCCTTTCTTTGTGATAAGTTGTGTACACTTCGACATGCTAGAATATTCTTTGTTCGTCTCTCTTGATGCTTGTTGATTTTTCCGAATGTCTCTAAATTGGTTGTGCAACTTGTGCATAGTGATAATATCTGATGTGAATAGTGCCACTCAAAATTTTTGCAAGAAAAGATGCTTCAAACGCATGAATTAAAAAGGTTTTCTTGATTAGTCGAATGGTGGCTGCAAGTTCTCAGAGAGAGGAAATTTTATTTGAAGTGATGTCAATGTTTTTATTCTTCTCTTTCCGTGGATAGACAACGTACGGAGGTGAACAAATATGCACTAGTAAACAGGAGTTAAGAAATCAATGTGTGATTTCTAAAGCTGAACTAATTCAATTTAATCGAGTATCCACAATACAAGGATTACTATTGCAATGCATGGGTGCACAGAAAATCGAAAATGCGAAAGGCAGAGCAATGCTGAAGCCTCCTTTTAGACTGTATGTGTGAGAGCAATACTTGAAGTTATGGCTTTTAGTTTGTGATAAATTGACAATACAGTATTTAGTAGGTGAACCAATTTTAGTTTTGGACTACTGCGATTCATTTTGGACATATATATTTATATATATAAAAGAAGGCTTCAAATCGTGTCCAACCATTGAAACTGAGCTAGTAGTATCGAAATGCAGAGAGTTTAATTGACAGTTCACAATGAGGCAGCTAGTAAGCTAGTGAAAGTGATAAAAGTAGGGTCTGTTTAGTTCGATTCGATGATTCGAGTTTTTAATTTGAATTGAGATGTGACTTTATGTGAGAGCTTTTTACTATAACAAGAAAGTTGGATATTACTATTTTTGAGAGTTTTTTACTGTTACAAAACTCGTAACGATAAAATGAACAGAGCCATAGTATTTAAAGAATCTCACGTGGAAAAGAGATATAGTTAGAATGAAGGTGAAAGGAATATAAATACGAGGGAGGATGGAGAGAGCAACATACTTACCTGGACGGGGTCTATGAGTGATCAAGAAGGCTCATGGCCTAGGTTGGTGACCTCCATTGCACTTGGGAGGGGTACCCGCTTACGGTCTCCCCAAGTGGGAGAGCCAACGTCATAATTTGTGGTAGTGGGGGCCTGCGTTAGCGCGGCCCCTGCTCAATTCTTCTAGTTTAAACGTTCCTGCGCTATTGCAACTAACGTCATCAAATTTATTTTGGTTTTCATATTATTTTGTGCGTTAATTTGCTTTCACGATTTCTGTTTGTCAACTCTTTCTAAAGCGAAAGATAGCCTGGCCTTTGCTTTTGTAATTGGATGGCCAGTGGGTTTGATGTAGTTAAAACTTATTTCATTGCTGCCCCAACTTTACATTGAATGGCTTGGTGTAGTTATTATCCTTTTCATTGCTACCCTTGGGTGGATATTGAAATTGAACCTGTTTCTGGATTTTTAAATTTGTAGATTTTGGTTTGCATGCTACAGTTTTTCCATCGGGATTTCCTGCAAATGCGATAAGAAAAACGTTTACCGACACCACCGGTGTTAAGTACCATCATTAATAAGAGATAGATCTCATTAATAGGAGGTAGATCCCATACATTACATGACTTACGTTTTATTAATGGATGGTACTTAACACCGTCGGTGACCTATAACATTGCTCATATTTTTTATTTTATCTATGTATTGTTTATCCCTAAATAGAATGATTTTAGAAAGTATATAATGAGTGATTGGGTTCTTCCTAGAGAAAGGATATGTATTAATTGATTGATAGATATAACAAACAATTAATTATAACAAATATAAAAATAATGGTGGGCGAAAACTGGAATGAACCATTTTTCATTAAAAAAAAAAAAAGTTAGAACCAGAAACAGCTGTATCTTCACAGCAACTAAGCTAATTACAAATTAACTGATCCACGTCACCTGGCTTAACAGCAGCATTACAAATGAGGATCTTCACAGTCCAAAAGGGGAAAAACTGGAAGGGCTAGTAACGAGACGTGCAACGAAAAATAAAAAATAAAGATAAACTCTACCTGCTTTTAGGGGGATATTACCAAAAAAGTGTCTTATATTGAGGAGAAAAATGGCACAACTCAATAAGTAAATATATTCATCAAATGTATAACCATGTAGAAGGTAATGCCCGAACGAAAAGGGAATTTTCATCTCAAGAAAGCTGGGTAAAAAGGAAAGAATTGAAGGAAAAGGAAATACACAAGGTGAATACAAAAAATTACATCACAAGCATTCAGTGGTGGCATACTATATCACTCGAGGAAGAAAAAAAAAGGTCCCACGATGGCATCATCTATATACGGCACTACTAAGGCTTGAATGAGGAAGAGCAAATACAAATAGAGGCGGAACTATCCAACTAAAAAGCACTCCAATTATCAGAGCTTCTCCTTGGAGTTTGATTGTCCAGTGACGTCCTAAATGGTCCCGAAGACCCAAAAGGGTCCGAGTCATCGAATGCTGGGAATCCATGACTTTGATCGTAGTCTGTAGTGCTGCGCATCGAATCAAATCTTGCAAATGTGTTGTCCTTCTGAGCGAAGAATCCACTGTCATGCGCATTGAAAGAATCAAACCTTGAGAAGCTGTTAAACGAGGGTTCTGAACTATTATTGTAACTTGTTGGTGAGTTGCCTATATTGTAGAGTGGAGTGCTAGGAACAGATTCGTCAAAAGTGAATGCGCGGCTGCTCTGGGAGAAAGCACTTGCTTGAGACGACCCAGTTCTAATAGGATTTAAGCCAAAATCTCCGGAATCAAAAAAGTAGTTGTCACTATTTCTATCATGATCTGTATCCTGTTTGAGGACAATTAACACATAAGAAAATGGATAAACACATTTCAAACGGTTCAATACTGGCTAATTAAAAGCACAGGCCAGTATATTGACAGCCATCAAAATCTAATATAGAAGGAAAAAAAAAAAAAGAATCTTAAGTGCTCATAAGGTGTTCATGGGGAAGGGCGTAACAAGACTGCTACTTCAGTAGAAAAATATTTCTGGCAAAATTATACCAGCTGCAAAAATTTGCAGCTGAACAATTTTCAGCAGATTCTAGCAATTTAAAAATTCACGTATTCACCCTAAAAAAAAAGTCTGCATATTCAAAAATTAAGCTCTACTTGTTTTTAATAAAAAAAAAATTATGTTCTTCCCAAGAAAGCAGCAGAAGCATTTATGCCATTAATTTCTGCCATAAAATATTTCCAAATTCTACATAACAATAAATTCTGGCATCTGAAAACTTGCAATTGAAAAGAAGGAACCATTTAGATCCTGAGATGAATGTCAGTGATACCCACATTACTCAAATTATGGGCTAAGGTTTTGAGAGCTGCTTCACTTTCTTGGGTCTTTCCCGCCCAAAGCAACGCAATTCTGGTAGAAGACCTATTTGGTTTTGGAAAGGGGAAAAAAGGTAAAACAATGTGGAAAGCAATGGTTTTAGCCACGCTATGGGTGGTTTGGCTTGATAGAGATAAGAGGATCTTTGAAGAGAAGGAGATGCTTATAGAGGACCTATTTGAGAAGGCGAAACGCATCTCTCTGGGCTTCTATAGATAAATTATTTACGGATTTCCCATTATCCTTGATTTTGCTTAGTTGGGAAGATATTCTGGTTTAGTCTGTTCTGATCTTTTCCAGTTTGTTTTAACGAGTGTTGGCTGTTTTTAGTTTGGTCGTTTAGTCTTTATGTTTTGGTGGTTGTTTTTTTTTTTTTTTGGTTAGTTTCTATACAACGTTCTTCCCAAGAAAGCAGCAGAAGCATTTAGGCCATTAATTTCTGCCATAAAAGCCAGAAAATATTTCCAAACTCTAGATAACAATAAATTTTGGGTTCTGGAAACTTGCAAAGCAATTGAAATGCACAAGGAACCATTTGGACCCCGAGATGAATGTTAGTGATACCCACATTACTCAAGTTAGTTGAATTATTTTACTTACCTTCAGGGTGCTACTTGCATTAAAACCCCACACGGAGTCAATGTCATCATTAGCGTCAAATGCCCATGCTGATTCATCAAAACCCTTATCACTAGAAAAGGGAGACCCCGTACCACCATGGTCACTGCACAAACCATTTGACAATTTTGTAAGGATTCAAATAAAAAAAATCCAATGGTCAATTCTGGGCTAACAATTGAAAAAAAAATGCGACTAGAAAAACAGATCCATCTTTTGTTAAATATAGTAGATGAGAACTTCCCGTAACAGGCATTCTTTACACACAACGTTTTTGTATCTGTAGTTGACTAGTGCAGGAATTTTGTCTGGGTTGCCCTCAAGAGTTGGCATACATAGGAGAGGATAACTATGAAGATATAAAATATTAGATTAACAGTGTCTACATGAATTAAATTTCTAGATGAGAATTATCAAGACCATTTAGAGACATATATGGGCATGTTTAAAAGGACGCATTAGTCATCTGCAACAGAAACCATAAAGATGTACATGGAGAAGAATGATAGGTAGTAGGTACTATGATGAGACATAAGCACATTGTGAAAAGAAGGAAGTTAGGACATCAAAGAGGTCATGATAGTCTTTAATTCAAAGGTGGACAGGTACTGTACATAGCGAGAACCATTTATACTTCTGCAAGATAAGTGCAATGTTAAGCCGATTTCTTACTTGATAGTTTGATTATAAAATAATGAAAAGTAACAGACAAAAATGAAGAGCAAATGAGTTAGTAAAGATTATTTATGTGTAATACTCAGCAAAGTGGAAGTGTCAATCATGGAGATTACTTTAGCATACGGAACACTAAAGCCCGAAAAGAAAATACCTTTTGGTTTCCTTATCACGGGGTGAGGCATCTGAACCAATCGCCTTTCCAAAGTAAGAATCTGACAGTTCTCCAGATGGGCTTCCAATGGCACTGCTTGCAATTGGACTGTTTGGAGAACTTTTTCCCAAATCCTCACTTTTGTTATGTGCAGATCCATTTTCAACGACCCGTTCATCCACACTCTCGGCTTTATCTGACTTGAGATCTGCTTTAGGGGAAGCGGTGGCTTTTGGACTTTCAACAATGGAGGGTTCTTTATTCTGAGACAATGTAGATTTCTGTTTTGGAGGTGCTATGATATTTTGCACGTCAAGAGTGAGCTCCTTGACAAAAGTAAATCCTGAAAAGCATAGTTATGCCTCAGCTACCATGACTCATAAATCCATGTTCAAATTTTTAATACAGAAAACCGCAGGCAGACAAAATAACAAACTGATGATTAAAGTATGGTGAGCCTGTAACTCTTACAAGCAAAAAAAAATGAAGAGAAAAAGGCCTAAATGCAATAAACCCAACCACAAACTCACAAATCATTTACCAACTTGCAAGGGCGCTTGAGCCACGAACACCACCATTTTAACCAATTACACATATTAACTTGGGCCAACATACACATATTAACTTGCAAAGGCTCAAGGCATATGTGAGTTACTTTGGATTAAAATTGTTCTAAGTGATTTAGGGATCAAGTGGGAAGGAACAATGAAGCTATACTGTGATAACAAGTCCACCATCAGTATTGCTCATAATCCGGTTCAGCATGACCGAACCAAGCACTTGGAAATTGACCGACATTTCATCAAGGAAAAGCTTGAAAGTGGTCTAATTTGCACTCCCTACGTTCCTACAAACAGGCAACTGGCCGACATCTTAACCAAGGGTCTATCTGTCACCGCATTTCAAAGCATCATCCGCAAATTAGGAATGGAAAACATCCACTCACCAACTTGAGGAAGAGTGTTGACGAATCTTCAAGGATTCGTTGACTCTATTTTTAAGGGAATTTGTTCCTGATTTCCAGAGTCAAAGCAAGCTGGAAATTCTTGTATATTAGGCCTTTATTTGTAATTAGTGCTGAATATTATGTTACCACAAATAGCTCCTAGGTAGACTATTTTGTAACCTATAAATAGGCTGTACAGTTTATGAGGAATATAACAATTAGTTCATCAATTTGTTCACCAATACATGTCTAGCAATGACAAGATTCTTCTCTATATAATGATTTTATGATGTTGGATGACAGAAGTGGTAGCTTTAAGCATCAAATTTCTACTCTCCTAAAGCTAATTGGCACCACTTGGAGTTTCTTAAGCAATTTTGATATACCTTCATCTTCAAATTTGTCCCAATCTTCATCCCAATCAGCAGCTCCTTCCTGGATTCCAGGTTGCCAGCCTTATTTAGACATCAAGAGAGACAGAGAGAAAAAGAAAGAAGTCAAAAACACAAATAATGAATGATAAACTATTCAGGTAACTAAAAAGTATTATTTAGATTAAATGAAAATTGCATGCCCAGGAAAACCTAGCAGCTAGGATATAACATATGCAGACCACTATTATTATTATTATTATTATTATATTTTTCTGTGCGGGATGTGGGGTGGGGGAAGGACCTTTGTTAGGATCCTGGTTGAGTCCCACATTGCTAAAGTATGGGCTTAGCATGTGGGTTTATAACCACTTGGGCACCATCTCCCTACAAGCTAACTTTTGGGGATGAGTTCTACCCAAGGGTTATAACAATTGGTATCAGAGCCTGCCCCACCTCAGGCCCACAATGCGGAAGGGGCACCTGGAAAGGCCAGAGTGGGCCATCCAGAGTGGGCCGCCGTGGACGTCGGTGTCGGAAGCGTGGTGGTATGTTAGAATCCTGGTTGATTCCCACATTGCTAAAATATGGGCTTAGCATGTGGGTTTATAACCACTTGGGCACCCTCTCCCTACAAGCTAGCTTTTGGGGATGAGTTCTACCCAAGGGTTATAACAACCTTGTACAAAAATTAGGTCTTGAAATCTATAAGGTCACCAAATTGATTAGTATCTTACCAAATGGAAGCTCAGTCAACGTTATGGGTTTTCCACGTAATCCATATTTCTTGCATCTCTCATTGAGAGCTTTTACGAGTTCATCAAGATCTGATTGAATACGTTCCGCACGGGCCTGAAAGTTTCGGTTCACAACTTAGGCAAATTCTTAAAAGATATTCATTGGCCAAAACTGACTTTCACTTTACCTGAAGAACGCCATCAGCACTGCCATCATGTTCCATCTTAACAATTGTCCGATACAACTCCATTTTTTTCTCCTGCATAAGTATCCAACATGAAATTGATTTAAAAACACATTAATGCAAATAAACGTGCATATGATTTGACATAATTATAAGCAACATTTTCTGCCTATATTTGATACAAACTAGTAGATGGGGATTAAGGCTTGTTGTTGTTATTGGATACAAACTAGTAAGAATAACAGCAGGCAACAAAATACATGAAACCATAGAAAGGAATGAGAAAATGAGGGATGGGAAATGTAACTCCGGATGATGAGGCTGGTGCTGATTGTGTACTTATGCTTACTAATAATGTAACCCTCTTTCAGACACTGGCGAGTTTAAAACTAAAGCATTAAAATTTGTTAACTGGAATTTGTTAAGGAAAAGGGGTGGGTTTAAACTTTAAAAGAGTCTTAAATTCACAGACGGAATGTTGACATACTCTCTTATGAATACAAGAAATACAAGCCACACTGACACATATTTGAGTAACTAATAAAAAAGGGGACCACCTCGTTCATCAGTTTCACCACAGTTAAGACCATACCTGGATGTCACGAAAAGTAGCTTCTTCAATAGTTAGTTTGGAAGCTACATCTCCAGTTTGTTTATACTTCTCTTCATATTTCCTGGCCAGAGACTCAACCTGCAAAACATGCAGTTTTCGCACACTATAGTTATTAACTTAGATAAGGAGTACACACATGCAAGTTCTGTCTCCAAGAAGATACCTCTCTTTTATCAACTAGTGACCTTTCCATAATCTCATTAACCCGGTTGTCACATCTACTCTTGTAGAGAACCTGACAGAGAAGAAAATTAGCGAAACAACTAATGGCATGTTTATTTCACTGGTTCGGCTCAGTTCAGTTCAGTTCGAGCTGTGAATTAAGTTCAAAATCGTGTTTGGTAAGCACACGGTCCGAATTGTATTTCCCGTTTAAACTGAGTTAAACTGTCCAACTTAGAGTTTAACTCCCCCCTCCATTTCAATAGTTCAAACCATTTTTGAATAGTAAAAAATGTTCATTCTCTCTGCTTTTTACACCTACCAAACACAAATTCGGACTTTATTCTCTGTTTATATTTAAACTTTAACTGCACATCCAAACGCTAATTCGGACTACAATTTAAACCATACGGTTTGGATTTTTCTGTTCAAATAGAAAAGTTCAAATCAACACAATTTGAACCAACGAACCAAACAGGGCATAAGTAATCTGTAAAGTACAGTAACACTAGTAATATTTACTCATACCACGTCTGCTACTTGTCAGAAGGCATCCAACTTCCAAGAGGTGAAACTAAGAGCATGATATATTCATACCAGTGAACTAGATGCAGTAAATATTATTTCTTTTAATAAATGCAAGAATATTACTGTGTCATATGAACACCTTTCAAAAGTTTCTAAGCTCATACTTGCAAACAAAATACACCTCCACTTTGAAACATGTTGCAATCCAGAAAGCTTACGTATAGAACAAAAACATCAAAAGATGAATTCGGATTGTAAACATAAGTAATTTTTCTGATCCCTCCTTGTTTCCAAGCATTTTTAGAATCTTAATGCTGAACAAGAGAAGGAGAGACATTTGAACATATATATTGGCCTGCTTGAGGATGCTACTCAAGTGTTAACGTCCTTGTCAATCCATGGAGTTATGCTTGATTGACAAAGCATGCGACTATTTTAAATGGGGTTTGCCATCTGCCAGAAAAAAAATAATGCATGGAAATGTTTGTTCTAATTATTGGAAACCAACCACATCCACAAATGTGGCATTTGGCAAGAGAATAAACAAACTGTTTCTGAACTAAATAGTAAGATATACAAACAATAATCCTCTTAAGGATGCACTACGCGACTACCAAATGCATATAAGGCTCAACAATAAAGAAAAGGCACCAAAAAAATGGATACTCACGAGTTCTTGCATTTTTGCACGGTAAAACTCAATTTTCTCCTTCGAATCCAGAATTTCTTTCTCTAGCTCTTCTACCTTCACACACAAATAGAGTCAGAAGAAAAGAGTATCTAAATCCTTAAAAAACAAAATGAACGGGAAGTATTATACGGTGTGCAGCAGAGAAAACGACACTAAAAATGGAAAGAAAAAAAAAAGAAAGAATACTTGAGTTTATAAATAATGCCCGAATGATATACAGAATCGTCAGAAAAGGTGGGAAATTGGAAAACTGCTGTGCATATCACTCACTCCAGCTCCATAACAGAACTTTTAACTTAGATTTAACTGATTCTTCAAATGAGAAGGGTGCTTAGAAATGGAGGAGCAAGTCCACAGGAAAAAAAAAAAAAAAAAGGTTTTTTGACATGTCACGTGCCATCCTATAATTGTGAAGATATCCTGAAACAAACAGAATCTAAGATTTGACCCTACTAAAAGCTAATAACCTCCCATATAAATTAAAACGTTAGAGCTTGTGGTTAGGAAAAACAGAGCAATAAATTACTACGGAGATGGAGATAAATATTTGTAAACGACATAAGGAAATTCTGAGGGGAATAGCTTCAAGTTGAAAATGTTACAAAAGAACTTTAAATAAAAAAAACACCGTAACCATAGGAATTCAGTCCACATAAACAAATGTCAGAACACGCTTATTTTACCCATCACAATATAAGAGAATCCTGAAGTTCTCAGGATAAGAACATTCCCCAGAAAGAAGAATTGGAGACAACTAAAGAAGTACCTTCTTATCAGCTTCTGTCGCTTCTTTAAACTTTGAAGTAAGTGAATTCTGCTCCTCCGTGCTGAGTTGGTCTACGAGGTGTTTTTCCAACTCTGGAACTCTTGGTTTTGGCTGTTTAGCCTGCGGCTCCTCATCAGCCTTGGGAACAGCGGGTGGCAATGGTGGCCTTGGTGCAACAGGAGGCATCATGTGTCGAGCACCAGGACCGGGCATCACTTGATGCTGCTGCAAGGGTTTAGTAGGATGTTGCTGAAAACCTTGAGAGAAAATAGGCAAGAAGGGTTAAAAGGTTCAAGGGAGAAATCAATCTTCCACAAAAGTGGAATCTAATTAAAGAATAAATGATTCAATTAGTGAAGTAATACCAGATGGTCTCCAAGCTCCATCACTAGCATTACTGTAGTCAGTAGGTTGAGCAAAGCTAGAACCATCATATATGATGCTGCTTGGAAGAACTGCTGGCAGAGGACGTCCTTCCCTATATCTCTCCATCAAATATAGAGCAATGCAGAACTCCCTAAGAGATAGCATGCTATCATTATCCTGATCGGATAAATCCCATACTTGCTTCAGAACCTCTGTTAGATGTAAACAATGAATAATGGTGAGAGTATGGAACAACACAACTTAGAAGTGTCTTTAAGAAGCTTTCTACACAAATATATTATACATGAGCATGCTAACTTCAACCGAACAGGAGAAAAAGTTTGGAATTCTCCTATAAGTACTGAAATTTCGAGGTTATATCATCCTAACTCTGAGTCCCAAGTCTGTTTTCCAGATCCAACTAGCATACACTAGTACAAACAAAATACTGGATGCCAAAGGCTAATTTAACACTATAAACTGATAAAAAGGCATTATAGACAAAAATAGGCTTGTTAAAAGCTTAAAATTTACACTGCATGCTCACAATGGTATACAAAAAGCACAAAATGGTGAAGATAATTGAAGCAGAAAGAGAGAGAGCGAGCAAGAGGAAGGGGGAATAACAACCACTTGGAATTCAACATATAAGCCACAAAATCATGATTGACAACAAAATCTTCTCAAATGGAATTTCAAGGGTTAATGTAACTTAGGCTGTTATTTGCACATATTCAGGTACGCACAGGCAAAATGCTAAGTAGGTAATATAACCTAGACTCATACTATAATAAGGTTGGAAAACGTTACAGTGATAGCATGGACTGTATCAGGTAAAAAGAGTTTGTAGCATTTACAAAACAAAACAAAACCAGAAATATACAGAATGTAGATAAAGACTTCAATAAACTACATTTTATGCAGATAAAAGACAAATGCCCAGAGCTAAAATTCAGAAGTGAGCTTCTACCTCTAGGCAATCTCCAACTCAGAAACAGATTACGTGCTTGTTCACCAGTGATTTTCCCATCTTTGTCCGTATCTACTTCAACAAAGACTTTTGTGTACTTCTGAACTGATGTTTGAGTCATCTTAGGCCATGGCATCTGCAACTGACCCGATGCAGAGTTCTGTGTAACTCCAGGTATAGATGTAGAGGTAGTTTGAGCTGAGACCTCCTTGTTTGGTTTCGCAAATGACTGGGTTGCTTGGAACTGACCACCAGCAGTTTGTGTTGTCACTGTAGCCTGCACAGAATCAAAAGCAGCAGGTCTAACTGAAGGCTGAGACCCGACTATATTTGGAGCAAGGGCTGGAGTGACAGGTAAGCTGCGGGAAGAAGCATCTTGCTTTGGTTGCAATGGGGTTGCAGAAAACACACCACTTCCAAAAAATGAGTCAGAAGCAAACCCATTACCAGAAATATCCAGTTCTTTAGTATCCTTAGCAGGAGGTCCTAATGGCTTCATCCCAGAAGGTGGTTGTAAAGTTGTTGATACTGATGTTGCCAACCCAAGTCCATCCAAACCCAAGGACGGACTACTCCCTTGCGAGGATGTTCCAGGAGGAGCACTAACCGTCCTTCCAATAGTCCAATCACCTGATATGCTTGAGTTTGGAGGGCGAGGCCCTGCCACAACATTACCTCCCCTAGGAAATCCTTGGGTGGCAACGCCTTGAGCCAATTGAGGTGCTGAAGCGGATGTCGGAAGGGGAGGCTTGCTTGCAATTACCTGTGGTGCCCCAAATCCCGGATTTTGGGATAATGTTGGAGTAACAGTGCTACTCAGAGTGGTAGACGGTGGTGCTGGAGTAGAATTGGACAGTGGTTGAGGTGTGGCCATAATATTTATTTGTGGTGCAGGTATTTTAGCTGCTGCAGGGCCATACAATGCTGCTTTCACGATTTCTGGGGTCAGATCACGCTTACTTTGTGCCACAGTAACAAGCTTAAGAGCATTATAGAACTCTGCCCGGCCCAGGAAACCGATCTGCCTCTGGTCAGCATGTGCCCATATCTGCCAAAACAATTAAGTAGTGTCAACTACAACTGAACCTAAGGCAGATCTGACAATAAATAAATCAGAAAGTTGCAAAACAAATGCATGAATCCTATTCAATTATCAATTATTCAGATTCAGTTAAGACCATCTTCCACATATAGAGTATGAACGGGCATTATAATTTATGTAATTGATATGTGTCCACCTATAAGTTCAATGCTACAACTTTGATTGTCTAGTTCTAGTATTATTCAAACCCAGAACTACTTAAAGGCATTCTGCTGTAGGTTTTCACAACTATAAAATACTGTTATTCTTCAAAAAGGTCTGCACGAATCCTTCTAGTTACATTTTCAGGCATGACGGCTGGCAACTAGAACCTGCCCAAGTGCCTATCTCCCAAGTTTAGTAGTTCAAAGTCAAATAAGCGCATGAATAAACTAACATTTATTTGGAGATAGGAAAATGTTTACCAAACACTAACACCGTTACGATTACAAGATATGAAGCTCATTTGGCAAAATCTTACACCCTCGGTGACAGTACTCTTCTATATCCTCTCGTCTAATTCATCGTTCTTCTAATAAATCTAACTATAATCAACTCGTATTCAATAAACACAAACACAGACTAAAAAGAATCGGAAAAATATTCAGCACCGAACAGAGAGTTAAATTGTATTAAGCTAAGACTAATCACTTAAATCGCAAATAGACAAGTAATTCAGATAAGTCTGATCCAGAACACATCCCCATCCACGTCAAATCACAAGATACAACTCCAATTACGCATGCGAACACACGCAACGAAACATATTAAGACTCATAAATGCACAAACAAACACCATATTTGTCTATAACTCAACGAGAGAGAGAGAGAGTACCTGTGCAAGGACCTGTCTCGGCAGACCGGAGCCTTGGAGGAAAGAGACGGCCTCGGCGCCGCTAATTCTGCCATCGCGGTCCAAATCAGCTCGCCGGAAATACGCATCGAACAGATCCACGTTCGCCGGTTGGTTCTGCGGCGAAGCCATAGCTGGATTGACGGTTCGCAGATCAGACCATGAAAATCAGCCCTAAGGAAGCGCTGGTGCGCCGAGAACGACGGAGGCGAAGAGCAATGGAGCGACGATCGAAAAGCCCTAATCGGAGACCATAACGAGAGGGGTGTTGTTCGCAATCCTTCCTTCTCCTCCGATGAAGAGGAAGAAAAAGGTAAAATGATAGACGTTTTCAATTTTCTGTTCTTCCAAAAAAAAAAAAAAAAATGCGACCACTTTGATTGGGGAATATCAGAACTGACACAGGCCTTGTGGCCCGGCCCATTAGGTACCACCACCGACCAACGACAACGAAAATTTATAAAATGTAAGTTTTTAGAAAATTAAGAGGAAACAAAATTGTATCTCTTTGGCTGTGGATTAGAACTGGTAATTCGTGTCACATATCATATTTATATCATATTTTAATTATTTTTTTTAAATTTGAAGTCAATCTGAACACGATCTGTAATACGAAATTTTTTAAAAACCGCAACACAAACACAACACGATCAATTTACGGGTTGACATGACACGAAAATGACCCGTGACACGAAATTAACCCGTGAACCCAAAATTGATACGAAAATTATATACTTTTATTTAGTTTTTTACATATTAGAAATAACTTAAAATTCATAACACACTAAAATACAATAACACCCATTGAAATTAAGCGAATAATAGTTAAGATTTTGAATATAACTATCATAATATCATAAGTTCATAATAAAATTAAAAATATGTAATGAAAAATATATGTATTTTTTATTCTCTACGAGTTTCGTGTCGTGTTCAGATTTTGCGGGTCCAACCTGAAATTGACCTGTGTTTTTCATGTCAATTTCAAGTCGATCCAATTATGACCCAAACCTCTTTTTTCTTAACCCTAACCTACAAAATTCGTGTCGTTTTTTAGTCGTGTTGTCATGTCGTAACCCATATTACCGGCCCTACTGTAGATTACCTCTTAGGGGTAAGTACTAAAAAAATGTGTTGTGAAAGAGACCCTTTTTTTAAGATATATTAAAAACGGTTGTTCTGCATAAAATGTGATATTAACTATATGTTAAAGTGAGATATTGCTACTTTTCGGTCTTTTTATTAAATATATACAGTCACGTACAACATTAACACTTATTAAATATACAGTCACATACAACATTAACACTTATTGCTTTCTCTCATAGAAATTGTGTTCTTCTTTTATTTATTTTTTGCCTTTACGTTTTGTTGTCGTTTGAGAGGGAACTTATCTTCATTTGTCAAGGTTTGTCGTTTCTATCTGACGCCTTTGTATGCTATTGAAGCTTTTACCTTTTCCATTTCTTACAGATGTTTTCCTTGCCGATCCCAAAGATATTCTTGTCTGTGGCTTCTTTTTTTTTAAAAGTTAGATTTGATCTTTTTGTCGTTTATAGTAGATATCGTCGTTCTTAATAATGTTGCTGATTATGTCAATTGTAAGAAAATTGTCGTTTTTTTACTTAAATTTAAGAACATTATCATTTGTCAAAGATGTCGTCCCTTTACGCAAATTTGTGTTGCCTTAAAAAAAACTAATTTTTGTTACCTTTGAATACCCTTAATTGATTCAATAGTTTGTCGTTTGCTTGTTTACACGTTAACTGTCGTTTCTAATAGATTATTCTTGATCCTCATTTCTCATATGACTTCTCATAAGACTACTATTAGTTTAAAATTTTAATTTTTGCTAGAATTTATGAAACAAAAGCCTTTAATCTTTCAAAAAAAAAAAAGTCCTGGTGAATTTTGCATCTCTCAAGTGTGTGATGAGTTTTTTAGGAGCAAATGAGTAATTCTGTCAGTAATTATGTCTGGTGAGATGAATGACTCATTTATATTATCAATCAAATTAAAGCTTTTAGCATTCACAAACTTTATGGTATGTTATTTTTTCAATTTGAATTGAGAATTTGAGTTGTAAAGTAAATTTTATGTGAGAGAAAAAATTATTAAAAAAAATTGAATTTAAATTTATGTTGAAAGGGATTGACCAAAAATTGAAACTCAACCATACTTGCAAAACGAGGGTGCTGAGAAGTAATAGGTGGCATGCCTCCATCATCCCAATCTTGCATAAACAACATTGACCAGATTTTATTTTTCAAAGAAAAAAATCAAAAGCATACAACCGTTTTTAATGCCCTATTTTCAATTCAAATTTATTTTTATTTAAAAAAAAAAAAAAAAAAAGCTTTCATCGTCAAGCTTTGAATTTCGTAGTTAGTTTTACCAATTTATTCGTCTCTCAACAATTGAAACCTCCAAACTTGAAAATTTTCTTCCTCTAACATAACTATTTCTTGATCATTCTTACCAAATCCCTTCAACAACCTGAGAACCAAGAGACACCAGGACAAAATCCATTTATTCGCCTGAAGCTTCTTGGTGCCATTGGAGTACCTTGCATACTAACAACACTGATTTGGAGAACAAAATGATTTCTACCCAAAAGTTTCCATTGTTTGTTTATAACGGACAATTTAGTAAAGTTCATTTTATTTACTTTACCTAACAATCTCTATGTTTTTTTTTTTTTTTTAACTAATCAAAAAAGGGGACTATTAGTGTCATCCTGTCTTATTCCCACTGTCTATAGCAAAAATTTTGAGGCCCGTCAATAGAAGGGAAAAGCACTAGCCAATCTCTACGATTGACACGAATAAATTATGGAATTTCAAGAGAATGATCAAAATTGCAACAATTTGAAAATGCCAAAGGAGCAAATATATACCGTTCAGTTCGCTAATTCGAGTTTTTAATTCAAGTTGAGATATGATGTTGTGTAAAAACTTTTTACTGTAGCAAAAAAGTTAGATGTGACTGTTTCTGAAAGCTTTTTCCTGTAGAAAAGAACGGGGCCTACCTTTCGAAAGTTTGAGTGGCACATTGTTACAACAGAACATCTAATGCGCGCGCCAAGGGGAGGAGGGGTTGGGGTTAGCCGTTGAGTGGTGGTTTTTTCTTTATTTCTTTCTTACTTTTTCTTATTTTCACCCTCGTCTTGTCATTTATGTTGTTTCGTGTTTAAAATTTATTTCAATGATTTTATTTTCAATAAAAAGTAAAAATAAGATTGTTTTGAGAATTTTTCTGAGATCGATTTTGAAATTACATTTGGTTTTGACATTGCGTTTGGTTAGTTTTTTAAGAGATTGTTTTGAGTATAATAAAAAAGTAAAGTCGTGTCTATTAATTAATATATTATAATATTATTGATAAGTACTAAAAAATAAAAACAGAAAAGTGAAAATAATTTTCAACTGTTTTCTAATTCTTTTACAAAAATCATTCTCATTGTTTTCATTTTCATTTTCGTTTTCAAAACATTTGCTAAACAAAAACGTTTTATTTTCATTTTCATTTTTTGATTCTCGAAACAGGTGAAAATCATTTTTAAAAGCGGTTCATCTTCTCTAAACTTAGTTATTAGCGTTTTCAAGATACGTTTTGTCGTTCAAGCCTTAATTGTCGCTTATGTAAGCGATCACATATATGTAAAAACATTAACGTCTGTAAGAGAATTGTATTTTGGTCTCCAAAAAAGTTCGTGTTAAATTTTCACTGTCGTTTGCAAAGAGAAGTTGTCGTCTATTAGGTTCTGTCGTTCCAAGAAATGTTGTCGTTTGATATTCAGTGTTTTTCATAAGGGGCACTCGTTTTTCAGATTACTCAAAAAACTTTCTTTTCCCAATCACACGATTATTTTAAGTGCAGGTTATCAATTTCAAAATATCAGAATATGAAAATATCAATGTTACTGTAATAATACAAAAGAAAAAAAAATACAGGAACTATGAGGCTGTTTAGTAATATTTTTAAAATGATTTTGTTTTTAATACAAAAAAAATGAGATTATTTTGAGAATTATTATAGGATCGGTTTTAAAATTATGTGTAGTTGGTTTTTTAAAAAAAAATTATTTTGAGTACAATAAAATAGTGAAATCATGTCCGGTTATAATTATTAATTAATATATTTTAACATTGTTAACAAGTATTATGAAATAAAAACAAAAACAAAAAAACAACTTTCTAATTATTTTTTAATTTTTTTAAAAAATCATTCTCATTATTTTTTATTTTCATTTTTATTTTTAAAATATATATTAAATAAATACGGTTTAAAAACTGTTTTTATTTTTGTGTTTTAAAAAATGTGTAAAAATATTTTTAAAAATAAGTAAGAGTCAATTCCAAAACTACCCATATATTTTTAAGAAGAAGAAGTAGAGAACGTTGCATTTAATCCAGAATGTTGTTTTGGGCTAGAACTCGCGACTGTCTAGCCCAAAGTCCAAAGAAGAAAAGGGTCCATCGATCAAAACTATTCCACTTCATAACCACAATTCACATCCTGCGATACAATTATCTTGTTTGCCTTTTCAAATTGCACAGACACAGATATTTTGGTGGGACCCATCTGTCACTAAATTACAAAGTAACAACGGACAGACAGCTCACACACAGCGGTCCTCTTTATATCCTTTTACGTATTTATTATTATTAATCGGACATTTTTTTGTTACGGCTAACATCCTGTTAAAATTTTTAACGTTAAATTTATATATTTTTTTTTTATTTTTATGTAATTTTATATAAATTTGATGAAAAAAACTTAAATGACGTTTATTTTAAAGATTTTATCTTATTTAAGATTATGCTTATTTATTTTATTATAATATTTTTTTATCATAAAAAATTTAAATTTTAAAAATTAAAATTATAAATTATAATTTTAAATTTATGAACTAAACGTCACCTCAATGATATATTAACGTTACCAAAAAAAAGTTCCTAATAAATATTGTTCATTATTTTTATAATTATGGTGTATCCACACAAAATGACACCTTGGCACCACGCGGCATAACTTCTTGTATAGCCACATTAATTCGAGAAGTCCGTAACATTCTATTCCAAACTTGGGGTCCCTTTGCCAGACACGAGGAAAGGGATGAGAGGCACTGTGATTATGATATGGGATTGCGATGGGTGTGAAGGCGTGGGGTTAACCATATACTTAAATCATGATCATACAACTAAACGGTTGTTGACCATTTTGAATTTTGATGTTTCTGTCAGTGTAACGAAGAAGTGCTTTAAATGGTGAAATTCGGGTAATGTTTGTCCTTTGTCCCACTAGAGAGATTCAGCAAGCCAGGTTTTGAAC